TTCCCTGCCTGCAAATCTCTTCGTAACGCTGCTTGAAATCGGTTGTTTTCTTGTCGAATTGAAAATGATCCAGTCTCTCGCAATCTATTAAATGTCAACATAAACACTCTTCGGTTTGGCACTCTTCTGTTTGGAAATCGTCGTGCATATTCTCGCACCGCCTTTAAAGCATTACCGTTGCAGAAACCGTATACAAAAACCATATCAGCATATTCACTATTAGAATACGTACGCGGCATATTGCAAAAGACAAAATTCATCTACTGTTAAAGGCTTTCAAAGAGCGACTGACAAATTCATAACAGAAAGTGGAAAATGTAATCAAATATGTCGGTGCTAGATATGGCAAGAAATGTAAACATTTTTTTTCGATTTCTCTGAAACGGAGCAAAAACGAGCATATGTCTATAGGACTTTTTTTCTTAGTTTTTTACTCCTCTACACGCTCCCGAAGTTTTGCGATTTAATTTGGAAACACCCTGTATATATATAAAACTACAATTATATTTTAAAATATATATAATTACATTTATGTAACTATATAAATAAAGTTATATTACGTGTATATAATTTATATTTATATACTTACATATTGCATATTTATAAATAAAATTTTTATATATTTTAGTTATCAAATATATATAATTATACTTGCATACATATTTTTTATATCGTTATACTTGCATATATATTTTTTTATATCGAAAATTATAAGTAACTCTCTTCGTTGATGTATTTAAATCTCTGTACAAATGCGAATGATACATAAGAAGAATAGATATGATTCGTACATAGGATAGTTTAGTGCGATTAAATACACACAGCAATTGATTTATCACTTCAGTACTGTTATTCCTGTATTATGCTTTTCCAATAGTTTACCGTTCCTCTCGCCGTTTTCGATATACTGGCTGCTGGTAGTCGCATAAACCTCGGAGCTGCTGACGTGACTGAGAATTTAATGAAATGAGACATGCACGAGCGGGATCGAAAAACTAACTTTCTCACGAGTCTTCGCATGCATACCGTGACTTCGACTCCGCAACGGCCTTCGTATGTTCCCTTCGGCTTTACACATAATTACGTCTCTGGCGTTAGCCAAATCGTCGCAAATTCTTGTATCGAATATATGGCTCTCGACGTATTTCAAAATTAAGTTCATACATTTTTCTCTTGTGCTCGATCTGTATATGTAGTTGTTACCTACATAAATCTTGCCTTGAAAATGTACTCAGCTTTGAATTTCTTTTTCGTCACACATTACTATGTGTTCTTAACCCAAAAATGATAAGCAAATGACATTTATTGTTAGACTGTGAAAATTACAAGCATTAAAAAAATAATATTATTATATATAAACAATAAATTATGATATTTTTGTAGTGACAATGAAACATAACAATTAATTAAATGCAATAAATTATAATTATATATAATAATTTCTAATTAATATATATATATATATATATTATTCTAAACTTTTTATTTTATGTGACTTAACGCAACTAAAAATTATGAATCTATAGTATCTATCTGTTTTAATATGTCTGCGATAGGAATTATCACAAGGAGAAATTAATTACTTTTTTATTTTTTGCTGTAATAAAAGTTGCGCCAAAAGTTTTTAATTACATAAGCAACCGGGAATTTTTACGATGACCGAGATAACCGATCTTGCGGGTGCGATCCAGATTATTTTGATTGAAACTACGAGACTTTCCTATCGTAACGTTTCCCGAACATTCCTCTCCATCTGACAATACCGTCGGTACCGTCGAGTCATTGACGACTCAATCCGACTGGATCCGATCTGACCGGAATGACCGATGACCTCAGCGAGCCACTTCTAATCGTCATACCTTTTTCTTGCGGCAGGTACGCGTGACGGTGCTGGACAAGAACGACGTGGCACCAACGTGGGGCCCAGGCCCGTGGAAATTTAATATCTCCGAAGAAGCGCCGCCCAATACCGTCATCACGGTTCTCGAGGCCCACGATCCGGATACCATCGGTACTCTGACTTACACCCTGGTGCCGAATCATCGTCGTCCCGGCGATCGCGGCGAGTCCGCGGACAACGATGAGACGCAGGGCCAATTTAAACTGCATCCGACCACCGGCCAGCTCAGCCTCGCCGAGTCTCTCGACAGGGAGACGAAGGAGAGATACGTGCTCAAGGTGCGCGCCGACGATGGTCTGCAACACCGGGACATCGTGCTTCATATACAGGTGAGAGTGCGAGACTTGAGCGACGTGGCGCGTTAAGAGATACATTTCCTATACGGAGAAAATAAATTACGTAAAAAATATATATTCCTCTTTACAACATTACGTTGTAAAGTTGGACCACAACTATGTTATAATATTACTGTGAAAGACGCAGACAACCAATTATATTTTAATTATATTAAAGAAATTGTTATTTTCTTTTACAATAAAAATATTAGCAAATTTAATTTGTTATTGAAGGCGAATAGTAAATATATTCGTTGCTGGACTCGTCGCTGCTTTGATGATGGAATTGTAATGACGGAATAATTTGCAGAGCTAATAAATTTTCAGCGATTGAGATTGGAGATAACAAATATTCTTAACAAGAATCTTTGTCTATATTATAGTTGATAAAATTTACTAGACATCTTAATTTTAATATAGTTCGCCAGATTTTTTTCTCCGTTCATATACGAGTGACAGTATCGATAATGTCTTATATATTTTATGATTCTCACATTTTTTTTCGCTATAAAGTAAAGTAATTAAATCAGCGTAATACTTATATGAAATAGTCATTCTTTCTAAACGCATCTTAAACTATCGAAAATGGCATTTGTGGCCGGTGGTAGGAGAGAAGAATCGAACTGTAATTCACCAGTACGAAGAACAGACGATTGTTCCCAAGTATTGGAATGCTCAGTGCGAGCGAAGGGTCAAGTCGATAATGCATTAGACACGTCCCCGTGCCGAAAGGTCGTCGACAACTTCCTACTATAACTGTAACCTATTGCTTCATATCAACGATTTTCTTCGTAGTTAAATAATAACCCGGTACTCGTGATGGAATTCGGTCGTCGTACCAACAAACGAACTCGGCGACGTTGGCTAATTTCTCCTTGCTCGAAGGATCGTTGCGCGAATAACGAATCGTCCTGCAGGATGAAGGATCGAAAGAAAGAGAGAGAGAGGGAGAGAGAGATAGAGGCTATGTAACTACAGCGATGAATTAATTTATGAGTGTACTTATACGGGATATCGTTATTACTGCGAGACCAATTACTGGTCAATTTAAAGGCAATCAATCTCTAACGGAATCGAGCCAGACAACACGATACGGTGTAGTGTAAAATTTACCCAGTCTAGGAGAAGAAATTTCTATCTAATAGTGTAGATATATTTTCTTTTGTTTTAAAATTAGATGTTTAACTTAAACAGATATTTTCATCGAAAATTTATGAATTTAATTCAAGAATAATATGCTTGTTTACGAAAAAGAATTTCTTTTTTTTTTTTAGAATAGGATACAAAAATAAATTGGTTTTTTCGTGATGTGAGAAAAATATAGGGATGCCGATAAACTGATGATAAGATTTGATGTAACTTAAAAATTAGTCGTGCAAGCTTCACGCTACATGCTAGGTTGTTTCACAGGGCGTGGGTAAAGGGTCGCGGACGGATCTGATATTTTTCAATTAATGGCCGGTAATCAGGCGAAAACGCCGGCGGGGCGAGAAAAGTCGGGGTGTACGGTTATAATGCCGTACGCATAAGTCAGCGCTGTCTATCGTAACGAGCGATCTCGAGCAGAACAATGTTGCGCTATTGCGTACCCGCGCAGGCATCACTCGGAAGATAAATCTACGATTGCCTGGCGACCCGCCAAGCGGATTGCTCGCACACACTCACTCTGCACGTGCATGCAACAATGGCACACCCGTTCCTCTGAGTGAGAAAGATCGAATTCGTTTCTGCGTGATTGTGAAATGCCGCGAGAAAAATTGACTCTTGTATGAATCGATTGCGTTAGAATACCAGTGCGAGATAAATGTAGACAGATAGAGAGAAAGAGAAGTATGACGAATAGTGTAACTATCGTAAAAAAATCTCGAGATTTCAATCAAAATTTCTAATCAATGAGATTACGTAAATTTAGTCTCTAAATGTTCTTTTGACGCCTACTATCATATATTTAATATATGTTATACCGCTCGTGAAAACATTGAGTCAATATATGATATATTGATATAAAATATTTGTATATTTTTAATATGATGTTATAAATATAGAAAAGAAATTAATTTCTCATTAATCTAATACTCTCTAAAATCTTTAGAGTGGAATCTAATTCTAAAGAGTGAAATCTTACTTTTAAAAATTGACAATTAAGACACTCTTTTTCAACACTGGTTCAGTTATCATTCTTTGACACTCTTTAGAATTAGATTACACTCCAAAGGTTCTAGAAAGTACATTCTAAAATAAAAAATATATGTATTTTAAAATTATATTTTATTGAAAAAGGTTATCTCTTACTTTTTTTTTTGTAGCATTAGCAATACTTAAATCAAATCGGTTGAAAGTACCGACATATTCATTCAGCACTTCCCGTGATCCCTAGGCGCGTGCTATTGCGAGGCGTGCTTGGTGACGCGCGGAGTATATCGCGCGTCCCGCCTTATAATTCATTACTCGGTTCGGTCGAAACGATTCGTGGTGATAAAAAACGAGAGTTGGCTCGGGATCCGGTCGTCTAACGAAGCCTAAAGAGGGACCCCGACCACCGGCACCGGGCCGGCCGCGCCGGGACCTCGTCGGAAACAATCACAAAAATTATCCTTATGATGGGTAATGGCTGAAATTCTTTTAAAGACTTCGCTTTACTAACAGTCGCCCCGTGCTCGCGTCGACTATTTTAAAGGTAGAAGGGAGAAGAAAAAAAAGAGAGAGAAAAGACGAATGTCAGATCCGGTCATAGCTCGACAGTTTCGGGGCTCCATGAAAGCGGACTGCTCTGTATTGGTTAAGCGTTGCGGAATTTGCCCCTTCTGGCCTCTTATATCTGGTTCTCTTGTCCTATCTTGTTCCCTCTCTTCGTTCCTATCCTGTGTTCTCCTCTGGCTAACCTTAACTATTTCTTCCTCGATCGACCTTCCTGGATCCCTTAGACAACCTCTTCTTCTTTTCTACTTCACTCTCTTCTATTCTTCCTCCTGTTTTTCCTCTTCTCGTCAAATCGTTTTCGCTTGAAATCGAGGAAGAATCAAAATATGATAAAATGAAATAATGTTGGAATAACATGCATATACTAAATTAGAATATTTCCTTATTCCGGAAGTACAATTATTTGAGAAATAATTTAAGAGTGGAGTTTGAAGAGACTAATTTTCTGAAATGTTCTCTTATGTTTTTTACCTGTCATTTTGTCATATTTATGAACTGAACGCTAAGGTGACAATATTATGATATAATATATAATTATATAATATTATATTGTATATAATTGTATTATATATAATTATGTGTGTCACATTTATTTATAAATTGAATATAATTGACTGATTTAAGAAGATGCAAGTCTCTTTTGTGAATATAATGCAATATTCTATGTATTATATTTTTTTATATATATTAATCTTGCGCACTAATTTCCGTATCTATAAACTCTTACGTGCTTTTTTTACTTTTGATTTAAATTCTAGTTTGTTTTTAATCATAAACCAATTAAATAGAAATAATCAGTTCAACATTCGTTAAAAATACATTTGGTTATCGTATCATTGTTTATTCAATGAGACTTCGCAAGGTTGATCGACATTTGAGATTTAATGTGTAAAGTTTATTATTTTTTCTTTACACATTCGAATATTATCGTAATCAAATTAAGATCACTATCCATAATCGATTCTTATTTTAAGATCGTCTTAAGTAACGTTTTAAAGTGCTAATACAGCTCTTTGATCGGTTCATGATGTATTAAGACTGTACTTAAGACAGTCCTAAATATAAAACTCGATTATGAATACCACCGGCCTAAGATTGTTAGTATGACATTTATCATGTCCGAAAGAAACAAGACTGATTGCGTTTTCTGTGCAATTTCCATGCGTTATAAATAGTAATCCACTTTTTTATTACAAATATAAGTATATATAATTACACCCCCATACATGCACACGTATTTAAACAACATTGGCAAGAGCGTATATTGTCGCGTATGAACTATATACATACATGCTTCGGTCGCGGAATCTGGACCCCGTCTGGTACCCCCTGTCATCCCTCGGTCCTTCACCGGGACTCAAAGCGTCTCTTGCCCAACCTCTCTTCCAACCCGTCTCTTTTTCTTCGTCTTCTCCCTCCTTCTCGCTGGCTCCTCGTCATCCACTGTCGTCTCGGGACACCATCACTTTTTGCAAACGTCTCCAAGCCCTCCTTAATCAAACCGTGCCCACTTCATTCTACCGCACCGCATGTCCCCGTGGAAAACTTGGAAATGTTTTGAGCACGCTTTACGTCTAGGAAGACGTATTAATCTAATATTATCTTAGAATCACATTAATTTTCTATACGCAAAACGTTAATAACGATTTAAATAGTTGATCTATTTGCACACTAAAAAGAAAGTTTAATTTAAACTATTATAGCAAATATTTTATTTATGAAATATGCATTTATTATGAATATTAATTAAAATAAATAACTATGAAAAAAGTAATCTGATATGAGAATAAACTCGCTGTCATTTGAAGCTTTTTGATAGAATCCTTGATAATATCTTATTTTTATTAACTATTTTTTGTTAATTTTGAGGTCTCTCTCTCTCTCTTTTTATTGGCATGAAGGAATAGCGTATAATATTTGTAATTCAAAATTAAATACAATATTAATCCATATTTTTAATAGTAATACATAGATGGATTCGTTTGTTTCCAAGTTTAAACTTAAAATGCAAACTTTTAATAATATATGCTTTTTACTGAATCTCTATTGCGACGGAGAGTATCAGTTAATTAAAACGGAATAGTTATTACTTTTAAAATCATATTTCACTATCGCCGTCGAATTATAGATATTCCTCAAATCTTTTAGTTTAGCATGACAGCAAGAGATAACATACGAAAATCTCATCATTTAATTAAGATTCGATTTACTAAGATATAGAGGAAGATCACCGATACTGACATAGATCTCCTAAAGCGACATTTCCTTATTTCTTAGAAACTAACCTTTGCACCTTATCAATACTAATAAAAACGTGATCTGTTTAGCTAATTAAAGAAATACAAACTCATAATTTTCATATATTTGTGGCTTATTTCTATACCAAATCAGCTAAAAACGAATTCTATGAATCCGAGAAGAAATAAATTCTTACGGTGTTCTTTTGCAAATTGCGTAATTAAAATAATAGTGACTGTATTATTGATAATATTATGTCATTTTAAATGTTTATAATTTCATAAATTAGTTTTCTTTACAGAATAGAATATATCTTTATTTATAGAATAGGAATGTTGGCATTTTATGTTGTCTACTATGTCAGTTTTGGAGTCCATTTTGTCAGACGCTCATTTTTGCATAACTTACGAAAAACTTAATTATTGCAAGTTGTATTTTTACCTTTTGTTTAAGAAATATTGTCTAAAAACAAAGTGGTATGTCGGTATCGGTGACCTTCCTCTATATTAAATCATCTTAGATTCGGCGCTCATTAGTAGCCGCAAACACAGCCGCCACGCAGAAGTAATGTAATTTACATATCTGATTGATAATTTACATGTGTACGAGATTAATGTATTATTTGTTGTTAAGTTATTACATGTTTTCGGGAAGCGAGAGTAAAAGGAAATGAGAAAGAGAGAGAAGTCGCTACTTCTTTTAGTTTGACAAATGCGTGAAAAATGTAAATTCGCGGAAAAAATTTAAATTCTACCGTTCGTTTTTGATTTTATGAAGTTTTTTCAAGCGATAAAAAAATATAAACTGATGGCATCATGGAGTCGGGCAGAAATCATGTGAAATAACGAAAGGACTGGATTATATTAAATCATTTGTAAAATTATCTCTCTCGATGTTCTGTCAAATACATTGCATCGGGTATTCTATAATAGTATTCTTTTTATACTTGTATATTTTAAAGATCTTAATTAGTATTCTTCTTGATTATTATTCAACAAGTAGTAGCTTTGTAAAAAATTTATGTAACGTTATACATTAAAAAAAAAATAATAGATTGTTGAATTGATGATTGTAGAATTATTACAGAGAAATTTATGTGTGTATGTGCGTGTTGTATGATGTGTGCATTTTTTCATAAAAATATATAGTAAAAAGTGGTGAAAAAGAGCGTAACACGTGATGAAAATGGTGTTTATCAGCGTTATTTATTCTCGCCCTCCATCGAGAGAGGGCCATCTTTTTCCATCGCGCATTTCACCGCTGCACGACGATCGATCACAATGAGCGCATTGTTACATGGATAAATAGCCTGCGGGCCCTGAGAATGTTTTCTCGCGCCGGGACTACTGTACAAGGGAGCGAGGTAGCACAATAATTCGAAGGCGAATGAAGTGAGCACAGCGCGGCGTGAATATTTCCGGTGGCGACGGTGTTTATCCAAGAATGACGTCGAGTGCGCGCCATTCGAGCCGATTTTATTCTCCGAGTGTTTATTTTAAGATCGCGCGTACCGGGCTTCCGGGTCTATTAAGAGCCGCGCGGGACACGAGAGGTGCGCGTTGTAAAATCTTTTCTGCCGCTTTTATTAAATGCGAGGGATGAAAGGTGCGCGGGGACGTGCGTAATGAAAGCAACTCACTGTGTCCTTTGAAACGGCTTTGAAGAAAAAAAGCTCTCGCGGAGAAATTCTTGGAAGGGAAGTGAACACCTAACCCTTAGAATGGTATTTAAATACTAGATAAAGGGTTTTCGTCGAACGTGCATGAAAAGAGGGTAACATCTAATATTATATCTAATATTATAAAATTTAAAAATTATTTAAATTTTATATACATAAATTTAAACAGGATATTCTTTATTACTTTATTACTTTATTACTTTATTACTTAATATTTTAAAAAAATTATATCTTTTATATTAAAAAATTTAAAGAAAATTGTAGATAAAAATATCGATACCTTCAGTTTTATCAGTGCCTATACATAGATAGGTACATTTTTTCCTACAAATATTTTTTTTATGTATATAGACAGTGTAAAGATGCTAGTGAAAAGGATGATTTTGTTGAATCATCAAAATAATTATATAACTAAAAAATAATGAGCAATGTTGCAAAAAACTTTGAAATTCTAGCAAGTTTTAACGGTTTACATAATTATCTTGATGGTCCAACAAAATTACTTTTAGATCTATATATTGAAGAAAATTTCTGGTTGAAAATGAACGAACCAGAAAATTCTGATCTCTATTTTTAACCAGAATTCCAATTAATAGAACAAAACTCTTAATTTTTTCATACTAGCTAAATAAAAGTATCTAACTAAATATATTTTAGCAAATATACTCTAGCAAAACAGTTCTTTTGTGCAAACGTAATTGTAATATGCCGCGCCTTACATCATTATACTGTGCTAATAGAGAATCTCAAAAACTATTCGCAGGTCACCGACACCAACGACAATGCGCCGACCTTCCAGAGCACGGCCTATTCGTTTGATGTTCCGGAGAACGTGCCAAGAGGCAGTCGCGTTGGTCAGGTTGTCGCGACCGACGCCGACGCCGAGGGGCCCAACAGCCATTTGAGCTATGTGCTCATCTCCGACTGGGCAAACGATGTATTCTCATTGAATCCAAGCACCGGCGTGTTCACACTCACCGCGAGTCTCGACTACGAGCAGGTTGGTATACTGGAACGAGTCCATACGTTGTCACGTCCAATAAAGTACTCTGTCAAATGAAGTCATCAATGGCGATGATCATCGCTATTCTGATCCTAGATGCGGTCAATGTCTTATTACAAATACTTTGAAACATTTGATTGACTAATCAGAAGAAATCAAAAGACGGAATTTTACTAATTGATCACTCAAGAATGCTTCAAAGTATTTGTAGCATCACGTTGATCTTACTCTTTGTCGGGAGTATTGAAGTCCTTATTTATACTTGACAGAAAAATTTGAATTTTACATGAATTTCTCCACGATTATGAATAGTTCATGAATCCACATGGAATTTTTCGACGGGTCAGCTTTGGCGGACCATGAGCGAAATAGTAACGCAAATGAAGTTATCGATGAATTATGAGTGAATCAGATGACGATCACCTCGAGATTTCAATTCTTTCGAATTGGTCCTTATTTATTAACAGAAAAATTTGAATTTTTTATGAACCGCATTCTCTCGTGATTATAAATAGTTTGTAAAAAATTTTACGATGTGTTAATTTTAGCGTTCAAACTTTTATCTTGACATCATAGACATATAAAAAAATTTGAATTTTGCTTGAATATCTTCGCAATTATGAATAGTTTCGTATGGAATTTTTCGATGGCGAATCATGAACAAAATAGTAACTCAAATGAAGTCAGTCTTTCGACATCAAAAGACTTCAACTTGTTCTTTGATTTCTCAGCGATTCTCTTTCTACATATATAACCATGACTTGTCCGTTCTCTATTTATTATTCCACGTAAAAATACGCTATTAAATGATCGCAGTCATAACCCAGAGCATGCTCATGAACTGGAACGATAATGCCGGATGATTCTGATGCCATATGTTTACATATCGCTATAGATATGTCCATCATAACAGTCGTTGGATGAGATGGGGTTAACGGCGACTCGCCGAGATGAAGTTCCGTTCAGATCAGTCTCTTAGAACTGAAATACGCACGCGTGTAACATTAAAACACGTCGAATGCCGCGGGCAGCGATTATAACCATGAACACGCCTCTACATTCAAGGATCTGAGCTCACCTATTATATTATCCGTAGCGGTGAGCAACGCTAGAATTTAGGGTTTAACGCTATAACAGTCAGACAGATCGATGAACAGTCTTTAATGGCGGTCTCTCCTGTGCTACATTTTGGAGACAAGCCATACTTAGCTATACTTTCGGAAACACTTCATAAACTGTGGCCAGTAGCGTAACCAAAATTTTAAAATTTTACAAAATGGGGAAACTTGCAATGCAATCTTTCAAATAGAATACTAAGGAGGGAGAATAGTTGCGAACATGCAAGAGACTATTGAATAATTATTCTTTTCCGATTCAAGGAGAAGTATCATTCTTCAGATAAAAACGTTATTAGTTATTAAGCATTTATTTATTAGTCAAAGAAAAACAATAGCTCTTTGCCTATATGCAAAAATATTTGCAATCTTTTCTTTCGTCAGGTATGTTTTCACATTTCAAAATTAATACTTATATATATGCTAATGATTGGCATGCAGAAATAAGTATCAATCATATATTATTGCATATAATATATTCGTATGTGCATATATTATTCGACTAACATAGAATGTCGATATATATTTTATAAAACATAAAATTAAATGAAGATTCAAGAGAACAGAAATAATAGTGGATTAACATTTTAGCGAACAGTTTTAGCGCCCTATATAATTATTTTGATGGTTCAAACAAAATTATTTTCAGATCTAAATATGTGTAGCTAAATTTTTAGATACTTCAGCAAAACACTGTTCTTTCTGTGTACATATAAAAGTGTAGTACACGTATATATATATATATATAAAATATTAATTCTTAACAATTTATCGTATAAAATGAATAATCCTAAATTTCTCTACTCCTTTAATGTATATGCGTGATTTAATTGTTCATTTTGTAGGTTTATGTCGATATTTTTTATCTGTTAACATTTCTGTTCTCTTAAATCTTCATCTAGTTTTATCTCTCATAAAATATATGTTGATGTTTTTACGTTAGTCGTCAATAGCGACATTAATATCAATGCAATAATATGATTGATGCTTATTTTTGTGCCATTGGCTACGCCACTGTTTGCGCTTTATGATAGAGCGGATGCGTGTTGATGCAGTTTCTATCGAGAAGAAAACGAAAGAAGAAAAGCGTAAGCGAGAGGTACGGGATAAGGGTAGCTTATAGAACCCTTCATTAACGTAATGCCCTTTTAGATACACGCCAACATCATTACAGAGCCATGCAATACGTTCATATACACGCGTATGCGAAACACATCGGAAACAAAGAAATAGCATGGTGCCGAATTAACATTATAGTTTTTGCAAAACAATTAAATACGGTTCTTAAGGATCTATTACAGAGAAAGTTACAAAGATGGTAGTTAATTCTTTTGCAATTTCTTTGTACTGAACGCTGTCCAATACTTCTATTAAAAAAAAAAAGAATTATCTTTTAAAATTGCTCGAATAAAGTTTGGACGTTGTCGTCATTTTAGGATTACTATAATGTGTTTTTAAATCAAGTTAGTATCTATTAATAATTATTAATAAAAATAAATTTAACTCACTAATTTATATGTATAAGCATTATTATTATTAAATCTATAAAATAAATATAAATTGATCTTTTATAGTTTGCCTGACATATATAACGGATCAATCAAAAGGGTAGTTTTTAAGAATCTATAATATCATAAAATAAAATTAACATTTATTTTGTAAATTTAAAACTTGCAATACTGTTCTAAATAATTAATTTTTAAATACCTAACTTTCTTTTTCTTGAACAATTTTATATTTATTACTTGTGTCACACTTTTCTTAAAGGGATGCAATATTATGTTCTTCGTACAATTAAATCATATAATTAAATCTTGTTTGGCTATTTTACTTTGCGTTATATATAGGTACAGCACTACATCCTCGTCGTTGAAGCTACGGATGGTGGTGTTCCCGTGTTATCGTCCACCGTGACGGTGTATTGTAACGTTGTCGATTTAAATGACAACGCGCCAATCTTCGAAGCCGGACCGCACGCGGCCGACATTATGGAGAACGCGACTATCGGCACACCCGTGCTCACCGTGACAGCCCAGGATCTAGATTCTGGCGACAATGGTAGAGTCGTCTACGCCGTCGCTGGCGGCGACGAGGACGGTGACTTTGGGATGGCTCACAACGGTACTCTCTTTACACGCCGGGCTCTCGATCGCGAGCGGAAACCAATCTACAACCTGGTGCTGAGTGCTACTGATAGTCCATTACCGCCAGCGCGGCCGTTGTCTTCTACAGTACAGGTTGGTGAATCCTGAAAAATCTGAAGAACCTTTCTATGATGTTTTTATATAAATGAGAAAATTTTAAAAATTCTTGAGTATAGTTTAGCATTTATTAAAAATATTAGAAAGCTAAAGCATTCTCTTGATATATTTAAATTTAATGACATCCAATAAAAATCTCTGGCATTAAAGTTACGATTATGTACGGTGAAAATCGTGTTGATAATTTCTCTTTTTTCTGTTTTGAAACAATACACGTTATTCTTCATTCAAACGACATAGGTGACGGTGGTGTTGCTGGACGTGAATGACATGTCACCGCAATTCACATCGTCCAGAGAATTAACAATATCTGAGAACGCACCAATCAATACGGTAATAACAATAATAAAAACATCCGATCGGGATGAGGGTCGAAACGGTTACGTCGAGTATACATTGAAGGACGACAGTAATCTACCGTTTACCCTCGGCCTATCGGATGGGTCGCTGCGTGTCTCCGGATCGTTAGACCGTGAGCAAAGATCTAACTACACTCTGGAGATCATCGCCAAAGATCGTGGCGACCCGCCGAGATCATCATCGACCACTCTCTCCGTCATGGTGCTCGATGAAAACGACAACTCACCCGTGTTCGATCCTAGGCAGTACTTCGCCACCATCGCCGAGAACGCCAGCATTGGTGCCAGTGTGCTCCAAGTCAGTAATATTGCAATAAACTTTAATGCTTTAGAAGAGTGAAAGAAGAAATAAGATTTCTTTAAATTGTCCTAAATTTTCTGACAAAGAGAATTTAAAATTCATAGACAGAATATCCATTTCTAAAATCCGATAGAAAAGAATATTGATTATAATTACAATAACCGATGTTGTTACAATTTTTATCAAATGTATGTTAAGTAGAGCAATTAATATCAAAATAATAAAAGATACAAATGTGGCTTTCTCTCTCTCTCTCTCTCTCTCTCTCTCTCTCTCTCTCTCTCTCTGTTTATATATTATTTATATTGTATTAATTTTGTCAAATTTTGTATATTTTTGTATATTCTTTCTAGTCTATTTTTTTTTTAATAGAAATAAATGCTTTTGTTTCTCTCTATCTCTCTCAATATGCTTAAATTATAAATCGTCATTTTTTGTTGGTTTGGCTTCAGGTGTCGGCAATGGATCGTGACGAAGGTGCGAACGGCAGAGTTCGGTACAGCATCGCAATGGGGGATGATAATCGGGACTTCACGATCTCAGAGGATGGTGGTGTGATTCGGGTGGCGAAAAACTTGAATTTTGAACGCAAACCGCGGTACCATTTGATGATCCGTAGCGAGGATTGTGCGGAAGAAGTCGGAAAGGAGCCGCGCAGCGATACAGCCCAAATTACTATTACTGTGCTCGACATCAACGACAATGCACCAATCTTCCTTGATTCGCCTTATCTAGCGCATGTTATGGAGAACATGGTGCCGCCGGGTGGCGGTTTTGTGATACAGGTACTTAATACCGCAAAGAATAAAGCGTTCGAAGTATTCCGAATATTCGAGTCCTTTTGTTGAATTAAACCGATTATTCGAGTTTTAAAAAAATATGCATAATAATTCCATAATTAATAATTAAAAAAATTTAGATATTAATTATAATTATATAGGTCGAAATTTCATTTTATTGTACGTGCGAATCGAATAAATTTTGATAAATAAATTAAAATTAAAACTTTGTGTGTCCGTTAAAAGGTTAAAGCGTACGACGCAGACACTCCACCGTACAACGATCAAGTGAGATACTTCCTCAAGGAGGGTGACACAGATTTATTCCGCATAAATGCGAGCACCGGCGATATATCGCTTCTTCGTCCGTTGGATAGGGAACTGGTACCAGAATATACACTTACTGTATCGGCTATGGATACCGGTAAGTTACTCGCAACAGCTATTAAATATCCCATTGAACATTCCATCAATATTGTAGCAATATTTTAACTACATACCAACAACATTCAAGTTATATTGCAGCAACGTTACGACATGCTAGTTATATTATAACAAGATTGCAACATTCAAATTATATTGCAGCAACATTTCAACATTCCAGTTAAATAGTAGAAATGTTGCAACATTGTTAGAATGTCTTGTGTTATGACCTAGTCAAATGTAGATAAGAAAACTCGTAACTAGTTACAAATTAAGGAAGATACGATAATTGTAGAAAGCAAATGTTTATCGCGTAGCAAGAATCGTTTGTTTAAAAACGTTACGTTTATTCTCTGATTACATATTTGCATATATTTGTATTTTACATGTCGACCACTTTTTTTATTCTATGAAAATTTTATTAAAGTAATTTTTAAATGTTATAAAAAATAAGTAAGAATGCACTGGATCGTAATTACTGGATACCGGATATCGGATATCCGAGAAGGCAATTTCTTTGAGTAGGATATCCAATCGGATTTCGGAAAACTGTCTTCTAAGAAAAAAAAACCAAGAAAAGGCTGTAAAGAAAGAATTGTAATTTTGCAACAATATATACAATATTAATATGGCATGATGAATATGCGTACTCATTTCTAAAATAACAAATCAGCAATTTAATGACATAAAATTTCAACCGGATATATTCCCGGATACTAATGATATCCGGTCGGATAAAAAACGTGCCGAATTAATACCGGATACCGGATACTTTTCGGATATCCGGTGTATCCCTAAAATAAAAATAAATATATTCCGGACAATCTATTATATAATGATCGACACCGAAAGGACAGCCCCTTATTCTCTGACAGGAATTATTTTTACGATCCATCTCGCTGTAGCCGGTCTGTGTAAAACTGGTTGCGAATTAGTACGAACAAAGAACTTAATTAAGTTTAGATTGGCGCATCAGTGTAACCGAATATTGTTGGATAAAAATAAGTTACAATTATTACAATGTAATTTTATTTGGTAAGGAAGAAAATTTAAACGACGGACAATTTTTTTTCTTAAATCTATTTTTTTCATTTCTTTCCTTTAAAAACTAATATTTATAAAAATTCATTATATATATATCTTTTATTTAATATCTTTTATTTTTACATTTTAATTACTATAATTATAATATTAATTATAACATTACTATTGTATCGCATAGTCGAAATGCGCACTTTACTATTTCTTTTTGTCATTTCGTGTATATTCAAAAAGAATTTTGATTGGCTGTCAATTGACTTTACGATTGGTGCGATTGCTATTATTTCCAGTCATCCTATACGTGATTGGCTTTTAAACATTCGTGAAATTATGCTGGCGATCGATTCGTGCTAATTCCTTATGCAAACCGTACCACCAGCCGTCCATTAAATGACGGTCCGCCGAAATGTCAATACAGCGTTATCCAGCACATAGACGAGAAACGATAGACTATGTACGCGGTGGGTTTAAGTAATGAGCGGTAATATACAAATTGGATATAAATTTGTGGGTTGTTCGATGAGATTCTTTAAGCGGTGGGCAGTTCCTCCCTCTTAAACCTTCCTTTTTTTCTCCTTGCTTCCTCTTAGAAGCCGGTAGTCCTCCTCTGGTCCTCCCTCTCCCCCGGTCTTCACCCCTTCCCCGCCCGCCCCTCTTCCCGTCCCGCCCCCGGTCGCGGTGGCTCGATGGCCCAATCGGTCCCCGGCGAGGTAGACAAGCCCGCAGAGTTATGACGCGCGATTATGATAATCGGCCTCGAATGCCTTCCTCCCTGTCTACCTCAGCGCTGGCACTGTCCTCTCCTCCTTTCTCCTTCTCCTCCTCTTCTTCTACCGTTCCTCTCTCCGGTTCTCCTGTTCGACCGCAGGCTTTAAGGCTCCCTTCTCCCCTTCTTCAGCACGCTTCGTTCTTCACCACCTCACCATCTCGTCCGTGCCGTCCTCTCCCCCTGTCTTCTCGTTCCGCCGTTCGTGAGGTCCTGCGCGCGTTTTGGGCCTCACGACTTCTTCTTTTTGTTTGAAAAAAGAAGGAGAGAGAGAGAGAGAACCATTTCTTTTGGATAGTGCCCGCACTCGCACATTATATTCTACTTTATTCATATACCCGCAGAACACTGTCACGCGCTCACCCGTCAGCGCACTCTCGGAGCACGTATTTTTGTCTTGCGCGATGCACATCGTTGGGGCGATTATAGGCTCTTGTGACCCCTTCAGCATCTGTCGCACGTAAACAGGATGTCTCGTTTCTGTTGAGAAATACTATTCAATGACTTGTGCGTTTGTGTTTTATTTCCTTATAATTAAAAAGATATATATGTCAGTCGGAATATCGCCAACTGGCGCTTAACAAAGATTATTTCTTAACACCTCTTTTCGGTAAGGATAACATTCTCGCGAGAAGTCATATACATGCGTTCTTACTCTATTACTCATACTCGTGATACCTAAGGCTAGCGATTTCCCTAAAAATTGATATTCCTGATCAGCCGAGCTGAACATCCCGTTCGGTGGAAATCGGCGTAACAAGTGAGCTTCTTCATTACTGTCATTAGTAAGCAGTAAGCAAATTATGCTATTACTTGTTATGCAAAGTGGGCCATCTCTCCTGACTTTGAATCCCTGGGAACTTGCGTTCACCACGTACATTGTGTACTGCAATTGTTATACCGCTACGTTTGTCATTTTTTCCTCTTTCTTCATGTATTTCTTCTATTTTCTTGTTTTTACTGGCGGTAATTTATTATTATATTTTATTATTTTCAGATAATCCGCTTCAGATAATCTTCTTCCGTCAAATTTTTATCGTTACTCTAAGATGGATTGTTAATTTCATGACATTATTGACACAACTATTTGACTTTTATGCTTAGATTAAATTATACTTTTTTATTTACCTTTTTGAAATGTACATTTTGTTTTTACGAGGAGTTATGATACGCGAGTCAGCACTTGTAAGATTTATCTATTGAATGGTATTCTTTGTTAATTAATATTAATATAAATTTTATATGTAATTAATTCTTTTCTTTATCAAATATATTCTGAAGCAAGTAATGAAGGAAAAATCTGCACCTACAGGAAAACGCAAGACTTTTGACGCAGTCTATATATCCAATTTGTACTCTTACGATCTTACGGGATATTTACCTAGAACATGATAAATACAGTTTTAGTCTCAGCCTCCGTCTTCTTCTCCCGTTTTCTCTCTTCTTCTCTTTCTTTCTCTCTTTCCTCTCTTTCCTCCTTTCTCTTATCCCTCGACGGGAACTCTCCGCGTGATTGAACGGTGTACGTCCGTACAGGCGCGTGGCCCTGGGCTACGCCAACGCTTGCCATGTACATGTACATGTGCCGCGTATACACATATCCGATGTGCAATCAGAGAAATCGGTTCCCTCCTTTTCTGCTGGAGAGTAATGGTGCGTTTTAGGCGGCGCAATTAAGCCGCGGCGAGATTTTTCCGCGCGTACTAACGTCGTTACTCCAGGTATCCCAATCCGTAAATCATAAGTGGGTAGCACAATGGGTACCGCTGGAGAACGCTTGTGTCACGTCTAAATTACCCCAGTGTGTATCGGCCATTATTTAATCGCCGCGTGTACTTCCGCGATTCAGAAAAGTTGCTTTTCCTCACAACCCTCAATGTATTGTACTGAGAAAAATTATTGGTTGACGAACCAGAATTTTTTTAATAAATCTCTTATCTAATTTTAGTTGAGATAACCAGATGTCTAATTATGATGACCGAATTAAATTCTGATTGATATCTGCAAAATCTTACTGGTTTGTTTATTTTTAACCAGAAATTTTTCTCACTGTGCTCTTTGTTTCTTGAAAGCGACTCCCAAGAAAGCATCAATTAGGATCATTCTAATTGAATATGTTAAATTAAGAACTATTTTTGTACAGAAATCTAATACTGCCTAATTTATTATTGAAAGATAATAATTAATTACTTATTTAAAGTACTAAAAGTATTAAATATCACTTTTAATATTAAAAATAAGTAATTAATTACTGTCTTTTAGCATTATAGATTTCTATAAGGGTAAGAAAATTCAGGAAGCGAATTTCTTTCCTTGACAGATTCAAAAAGGATCGAGTTAATTTTTTTTTAGCAAAATTATCGAAGAAGTTTACAAATATTAAATTCAACTTTTAGTTCCCGAAGCATCAAATTCAACTTTTCATTCCCAAATTTATCTAAGAAATAAATTTACAATAAACTCAATTATTACGTATTTACAATTGACTCACATTTAGAAATATAAAATAAATAACAATGTAATAAAATAAATAATATCAGTAGACTTTTGCTTTAAATGATGTTCCTCTGTGGATTTGCGCACTTTATTTTTGTTCCAACTAATTTTGTAACAGAAATCTGCAAAGGAAAGATTGTAGGAGTAACGATTCGTCGGTTAAAAGTAAATATGTGCTTATATTCCATGGCGAGCACGGACAAGTTCTAAATCACTTTACGGCGTCTCGCGGGCGACGCGGACACCACAATAATATTCTGTTAAAATTATGGCCCCGGTTTACCTTCCGTTTGGACCGATTTAAACCGTCATAAACGAGCCGCGAGAGGCGGGCTGTAAATTTAGCGGAATAATCGCGCCACTGACCCAACTACGGTCGCACGGCGTTACGGTTCGCGAGATAGCAATAAAAGCTAAAAAAAAATTAATACAAATAGAAGAACTTGGAGCTAGAGCAACGGCACGACGCATCGGTGCGACGATGGTTGTCGCTTTATGGCTGCCCAACGACATACACGACTGAAGTTTCACATTTTTCTGCGTATTCGCAGGCTCGCCGCCTCTCACCGGATCGGGCATCGTCAGGATAGTCGTCCTCGACGTGAACGATCACAGTCCCGAGTTTGCACGGCAGGACTACAAGGCCACCGTGGTGGAGAACGCACCCGCTGGAACTTGGGTCATCAAGCCGCATGCGACAGACAAGGATGAAGGATTCAATGCGAAAATAAGGTAGGTACTCCTCGCTGATGTTGCGTAATTATGATTGAAAATGCACTCCATTTTATACATGTATGCGATCTTGAATCTGAAAGAAAGTTTATTGTGTAATTCTACTTTCCTTACAGTAGAAAAAAATTTACCTCTTTATTTTTATTATAAATATTATTCAGATATATTCTATAGTTTTCTCTCTGTATCGTACTTTTAGCTCTAAGTTTAAGTTAATAGTTACTAAGGAATTTAATAATTTTAAATAAGAAATTTATAGATTCTTCTTTTTTACGTAAAATTTTGCGACGAAGAGTTGAATCCATATAAGAATTTTTAAATATACTTATTTTAAGAATCCAAAACAATCATAGCAAAATAATAGTCTGTTTGATAAAACATGCTCGGTTTAATTTTATTGATAATATACTTTACCATGTTTAAATAATTTTTATTATTTATTCAAAATAGCTACAACCTACTTGGAGACAAAGCGGAGCGGTTTTCCGCAGATCCTGACACGGGCGAGGTGTTCACCACGGTACCGTTGGATCGCGAGCAGACTGCTGTGTATTATTTGACTCTAGTGGCCAGAGATTCAAGCCCGACGGAACCGCGTGCCTCTGCCGTCAATCTGACGATTTATGTGACGGATGTGAACGACAATGCGCCCCGTTTTTCCAGTCCCCGATATACAGCCTATGTTCCAAACGCGACTAAACCAGGTATAATAAGATTGGCGACGATATTAAGTATGTTAATTAGATGCGTTTAATTAATTAAACTAAGAAAATTCAGAAAGGAAAGAAGAATTTCTTTTCTTCGAGAGATTCAAGAAATCAGGTTGATTTTTTTAGCAAAATTGTTGAGGAAGTTTACAAGTATCAAATTTAACTTTCATTTCCTAAATTATCTGAGAATGAGTGGAGCAAATTTACAACAACTAGTTACAATTGCTGATTACTGAAAGAAAGAACCATCATAGAGTGGTTTTGCTTTTCACCAATTAGCTAACTGCGAGTCCAAATATTAATGTCGATTTTTTTTAAAGGCGACTTTGTCTTCGGCGCGAAAGCAAGCGATGATGATGACGGCGAGAATTCGCGGATCGTTTATTCGCTGCATGGTAAGGATGCCAATCGGTTCACCATCGATCTCAACAATGGTGTGATCCGTGCTACTCAAGAACTGATCGACGACCAGACCACCTATCAACTACAAATACTGGCATCGGACTGCGGTGCCGAGCCTCAGCACGTCACAGCCGATCTGGTGATCCACTTGTGGGAACGGCAGCTGTTTCCCAGCTTCCGATCCAGCGTCAGTACGAGGTTCACGCTGTCTGAGGATGTGTCCGAGAGCAAAGTGATCACCAAGCTGAGCGCTACTACACCGAAAAGCGGACCAGCGAGTAATTTGATCTATGGTATAGCCGGCGGAAATGTGGGAGATGCTTTGAGAATCGATTCTCACACTGGAGAGGTAAATGAGATTGGACATTTAAATTTTATTTATTTAGTTCTTTGTCTCCTTCTTTTTCATATGGAATATAAAACTATTTTAAAAATTATTTTCTTTAGTTTTTTTTTAATATATTATTCTATTATTACAATCCTTCTTTAGGTCGTGGTTGCCTCTGGGTTTGATTACGAGACGGCTCCGCACTACGAAGCCTGGATTGAAGTTCGCGATTCGGACACACCCCCGCTGCGTAGCGTTCTCCAACTTCTAGTGAATGTCACGGACGCTAACGATAATGCACCGATTATGGAGGCACCCATTTACAACGCGACCGTGATGGAGGAAGAATATCCGCCGTTATTCGTCATCAAAGTGTCAGCAAGGGATCGCGATTCCGGTGAAAACGGACAAGTCACTTATCATCTAGTCGACGACTTCTCCGGGTCCTTTATCATTGACAGCAGAACTGGGCAGATTGAGACTAATGAGAAGTTGGATCGCGAAGAGGTGAGGATATTGTAACCAATTACAGTCATAATATCCAATTAATTGATTACAATATTTAAAGCCAGTTGTAATTATCTCGAACCTATCCATCTAAGGATCCTGAAAATATCTCACACATATTTAATTAATAGTGTCATTTAATTATATTCACATTGGAATTTCTTCAGATTGCGTCTTACGAGCTCATCGTAGAAGCCAGAGATCAAGGTCATCCCCGATTAACCGGCACCGCCATGGTGCTCGTTACCGTTCTGGATAAGAATGATAATCCGCCGCATTTCACGCGACTGTTCAGCGTCAATGTGACAGAAAACGCGGAAATTGACACGTTCGTTATACGCATTACCAGCAGTGATCTGGACATTGGTCAGAATGCGAACGTCAGTTACAGCTTCACTGAAAATCTAGGAATGAAGTTTTCCATCGATGCCCTAAGCGGAAATGTAACCGTTGCTGGACAGCTCGACAGAGAGGAACAGGATGAGTATCTACTAAAGGTAGGATATTTAATCTTAATTTACTATTTTATGTGATTGACAAAGATTTGTAACATAAAATCAAAAGAATTGCGTTTGAATTTACAAAAAATAATACAAAAATTTAGAGAAATTGTTTATTGTTAAAAATTTAAAAGATTCAAACATTTTTTAAAGTTTACACATTTATTTACACATTTATATTTGAGGGAAGGAAGGCATTTATGCTATACTTGGGCATTTATGCTACATATGTTATACTTTATGTTTTCTAATAATTCCTAATTATTTATAATTTATTCCTTATTTTCTATAATTTCATTGTAGGTCGCAGCAGGGGACGGCGCATGGCGAGCAGAGACCGCCTTGACGATCACTATTCAGGATCAAAATGACAATGCACCCGAGTTTGACGAAGATACCTATCATTTCCTTTTTCCCGAGCTTCAGCCACAAGTGACGCATGTTGGCACGGTCGCGGCTACTGATCGTGATAAACAGGGACCAAATTCCGTCATATCTTACAGCCTGCTGCAACCGTCCGATCTTTTCACTGTTGATCCTGCGACCGGCGATGTCTTCAGCAAGCGTACTCTACGCTACAAGCACACTCATCGGCCATCCTCGCCGGAGAATCTGTACTCGCTGACAGTAATCGCCACTGATAATGGCAAACCACCAATGTCTTCGAGGACAGTGGTGCACGTGAGCGTGGTAGATGCCAACAACAACGCTCCTCGTTTTGAGCAGAGATCCTATCTGTCAGCGGTACCGGAGAATTGCGAAGTAGGCAAGCGCATTATTCAGCTGATCGCACATGACGACGCTGACTTTGGCGTGAACGCAGAGGTCAGTTATTCGCTGGAGAACATGAACGAAACTGATGTTCTGTTCGCCATTGAGGAGCAATCTGGCTGGATTTACGTGCGCAAGAGTCTCAACGGCATTCACGCGTGTCACCGATAAAGGCGTACCACCGCAGAAGGATGAGATTGTCCTGACCCTTATAATCTCCGGCGAGAACAAACATACGCCCGCCTTCGTCGCCGACAATTACCAGGTCAGAGTGCCGGAAAGCGAAGTGATCAATGCCACGCTTCAGACAGTTTACGCCTACGACAACGATAGTGGACCCAACGGCATGATTCGTTACACAATTTCGTCAGGCAACGAGAAGAATCAGTTCTATGTACACCCTGTCACCGGCGTAGTCACTCGACTCGAGCCTTTTGATTACGATCAGGTACAGGAATATCGACTGAATATCACCGCCACGGATATGGGATTCGAGCCGAAGCAAGTAGTTGCGATCTTAACTATCCATGTCACCGACATCAACGACAATCCTCCGACCTTCAATCAAAGTATATATGAAGCGTTTTTACCGGAAAATTCGCCGCCCGATAGTTTCGTTTACAAGGTATGTTTATCGTGGAATTTTTTACTCTGGTTTATGTTTGTTGGTATTTTTTATTTTTAGCTGACTATCTAGCTAGATAAATTATTCGAATCTTGAGCTTAAAATACGAAGAAATTATTATAAATTTGCTATTTCAAGTTTCCTCATTTCTTAAATAAATCAATTGATGATCTTTGATGCCATAAAAAAACAATATGCTTGAATATGACATACCTAATGTCCAACCCAATTCGATTACTTATAACTTTTATAAAAATGAATATACTGTAAAAATTTGTTTTAACGAAATGCATTAAAAAATATAACGATGTCAAGCGAATATATATACTTTTATTAATAAAAAAGTTATAAATATTGAAAAATGAAAGTTAAATATGTTATACCTAGTAAAGTGATACTGATGGATTAAATCTAATGTTTTTCCATATTTACATTTATTTCCAATATATTTCTTAATACATAAATTAATATAAAATTGATGTATAATATAATTGATAAATAATCGTAATTTTTTTTCACAAAATTCCAGGTGGTCGCTCGGGACATTGACTCGCCCAAGTATGCCATAGTGCAGTATGAAATCCTAGGTGGTACCGGCAAGGACTACTTCCGCATCCGCGGGAATACCGGTGAGATCATGTCGGATGCTACCTTCGATTACGAAGAGGCGAATGAGTATACTCTCGACATCGTCGCGGCCAATCCAGATTCAAACCCACAGATGGTCGGCTTTACAACTGTGGTGGTTCACATCACCGGCGTGAACGAATACTATCCTCATTTCATTCAACCTGTGTTTCACATGGACGTCTCGGAGAGCGCCGAGGTGGGTACATCAGTTGGCGCGGTTCAGGCGACCGATCAGGACTCGGGCGAGGATGGCCGTGTGTACTATCTCTTCGTGGGCTCGTCTAACGACCGCGGCTTCTCGATCGGTTCGGATACTGGCATCGTTCGGGTGTCGCGCCAGCTTGATCGCGAGACGCAGAATCGCGTGGTGCTGACAGTGATGGCAAAGAACGGCGGTGGTATACGTGGCAATGACACCGACGAAGCGCAGGTAATCATTTCCATCCAGGATGGTAACGACCCGCCAGAATTTCTGCAGAGTACCTACGATGCCATCGTGTCGGAGAGCGCTATCTACGGCACCCGTGTGCTTACTGTCCGCGCGATCGACAAGGACATCAAGCCGCAGAACAATCAATTCTCGTATTCCATTATCAGTGGCAATCTCGGTCAGGCCTTCAAAGTCGATCCACAGACCGGTGACGTCGAGACAGCAAAGCAATTAGATCGCGAAACCGTGCCCACGTACGATCTGACGATCGGCGCGATTGACACCGGTACACCGGCGCAAACTGGCACCGCAATGATGCACATCGAGCTGCAAGATGTAAATGACAATGGCCCAGTCTTTGATCCTCCGGAAGTAATCGGTTACGTCAGTGAAAACGAACCAGTAGGTACCAGCATCATGACTCTGAGCGCGACTGATCCTGATCTACCACCCAATGGTGCGCCATTCACCTATAGATTGATCGAAGGAAGACAGAGCGACATGGTGACCTTGGACAAGCATTCGGGTATATTGAGAACCACCAGAAGACTCGATAGAGAAACGATGTCGCAGTTGGACCTCATGGTTGGTATCGCATAACGTAACTGTAATAAAAGTGATTCTAACTGTATCATCTTGTTACATTATTTGTTATCGAAGAGAAGCGATAAAGCGGTCAGTCTTTAGAAAATTTTAAGATCTCTGCAGTTACACATAGATTACATTACTTTCTAAAAATTTCTATGTATAATTCCTAATATAATTTCTATAATTGATAAAAATCTAGATTCTAGATCTAAATTTTCATAGTTTTTAACGTATTTTCATACGTTTCAAAAAGTTTTAAATGTAAAAATAGCAATTGTTTCAATTTCATGTTTATGAAACTTGGTAATAGTTTCTTTCTTTCAATCTAAATCAATCTATGAAAAATAAAAGTTTTCGACAGAGCTTTGGAAACGCTAGGATTGCTAAGAAAATGTATATCATTACAAAAAAACAGAAAATAGAAAATTTCTATTTTGATTTATATAAATAGTGTTTAAGAGAATGATACATATTTTTGTTTGTGTAGATTGAAGTGGAGGACTCGGGTATACCCCGAATGAAGAGCGAACATAATATTGTCGTAATCATCACTGATCAGAACGACAGTCCATCCACGCCAAGATCGGTACACGTGATGGTGCACTCATTCAATGGCAAAACACCACTGGGAAAGATCGCTGATGTGCATCCCAATGATCCGGATATCACCGGGGCTTTCACGTGCAAGATCATTCAAGGCGCGAGTTCACGTGTGCTCACCATTCCCACTGCCTGCGATCTGCACACCAACAAAATTACATCAGGCACGTTATACATCAATCGCGAAATGGCAGATTTCTCGAGATTTATAACCAATTTTTTTTCTACCCTTAAAGAAATTCATATTGGAAGGAAATTAATTACTTATTTTGAATATTAAAAACAAGTAATTTTTAATATTAAATTGGATATTTCTAAAATAAACGATCTATTTTTTAAAAAGTAACGTACGTATTAGCTTGTCGATAAGTGTTTCATAATGTTATGTCTCGATTGAGGTTTAGATACATTTTATCATCTATATCTATGAACATTAATTTATTCTAAGTAGAATATTATGTAGAAAACTTTTTAATTAATATCTTGATTGTGTGGGTATACAGAAGTAGGATATTCTTTGAGTGTCTCCGGCAATGATGGACGACATCCGGATGTGGTCTCTAAGGTCACCGTCGATTTTCTGATCTTCTCAAACGCCACTATCGAGAACAGCGTGACCCTGCAAATTTTCAAATTGACCGCTAATGATTTTCTTAGTCGATACTACCGGGCTCTCTTGGATCTCTTGCAGCAGAAAATCAATATCGGCGAAACACTTACCATTTTCAGCATCGGTGAAAACGGACCGGATCTGAACGTTCACTTGGCAGTGGAATCTCCGCAAGGTAAGTTAAAATATGTGTGTTATTGGATATCAAACTAATATATTTATGTGTTGATATATTCATGTGTCATTATTTCAAGTAACACTTGATTTTCGCGATACCATCTTGATAACGAGTGAAACTTGAAGATTTTGTTGAACTACGCGTTAATTTGACGTCAATGTAGCTCTACATATTACTTGAGATATTTATTATCCAGTTTCACAATATATTACTTATTATATACATTAGAAAATAATAATATAATATAATATAACTTTGATAATATTTTATTCATTTTCTTCAGGATATCGAACGAGATACGAAGTAACCGATTTATTGATGCGTAATCAAGACCAAATCCAGACATTGCTCGAAGATCACTCATTCATCATCAACTATTCTCCGTGCAAACACATGCCTTGCGAAAACGGGGGCAGCTGCAGCGACCGATTGGCTATATACGATGACGCCAGGATCACCGACAGCCAGGCACTGATCCTGACGTCACCCAGAATGTTGCACGAGATGGCCTGTAAATGTCGGGACGGCTTCACCGGTGATAGATGTGAAAGAAGACAGGATCCGTGTTCTCCAAATCCTTGTTTGCTAGTGAGTATTTAAAAAAAAAAGATATTCTGTAAATAAAACGTGGAACAAAGTTTAATATATATAATGTAATATGAAAATTTCTACAGGGAGGACAGTGCAGACGTTTAGGATATGATTTCCAATGCACTTGTCCTATCGATCGCGATGGCAAACTGTGCGAGCTTGAGAGAGGCGATGCGTGTGCCAGCAATCCGTGTCGAAACGGCGGATCGTGCAGAAAGAGCCCGGATAGTTTCAGCTTCTTCTGTCTTTGCAGAGCGGGCTACAGAGGAAATCACTGTGAAGCAGTCACCGATTCCTGTCGACCGAATCCTTGCTTGTACGGTGGCTTATGTGTGGGAGAAAAACCTGGGTTTGTTGATACTTTAAATATAATTTTAAATGACATAGCAATCTACATACTTGCTCCACTCAATGACTGAGTGCGAATTCGTACGAAAGTGAAATAAGATATAAAATTATTATCCACTTAGATATCGATGTAGCTGTCCCGAGGGTCGCTACGGCCGGCATTGCGAGCGCTCGACCTTCGGTTTCCACGAGTTGTCGTATATGGCATTCCCGGCGTTGGATTCCAATACGAATGACATCACTATGGTGTTCGCTACCACGAAACCGGACGCGTTGTTATTATACAACTACGCACCGCAGACGGGTGGCCGCTCGGATTTCGTCGTGTTGGAATTGATAAACGGTCGAGTGGTCTTCTCGTACGGCGGTGCCAGAAGTGCGATCACCACCGTCACTATTAAGACAGAGCGGCCGGTATCGGATGGTGAATGGCACAAGGTCACCGCCACTCGGAACGGTAGAGTTATCTCGCTCAGCGTGTCCACTTGCAAGGAACACGGCGACGTCTGCGACGATTGTAGACCAGGTGATGGTACCTGCTACGCGGGCGATGTGGGCCCGACTGGGTGAGTGTTCTATTAATTTTTCCAATAAATGCCCCAAATTTTTTTGACAAAAGAAAATCAATTCATAAATCTACTATAGATGAGACCTTAAAATTGAATTGAAAACTAAATTCTATTAGAATTAAACATTATACAGTTTTGGTTTTGATTGCCAAATTATAGAAACTTTATTTTAAATTGTAAAACTTGATTACTTGATGTCAATAGAGATAATTACTAGAGACGATATTTTTAAAAAGTGATTTATTTTGCTCAAAATGTTTGCTCGCTGTAGATCAAAATTTAAAAATGCGCAACGTTTTCAGAACCTTAAACTTCAACAATAATCCTCTTCTATTGGGCGGCTTGGAGAATGCCGATCCCGTGTTGGAGCGTCCAGGCCAAGTGCACTCTGATGACTTCGTGGGTTGCATTCATTCGGTGTCAATAAACGGAAGGACCTTGAATCTGACGAATCCACTCGCATCGCGTGGTGTGAAATCCACGTGTGTCAGATCGCAGCGGAATCCTTGTCTGAAAGATGAGAAAGACGCTGCATCCGTCTGCGACGTGGATGCTCAATGTCACGACAAGTGGCACCAAGTGATGTGCCAGTGCGGATCTTTGAGAGCGCCCAATTGCCATGGTGCCCTGGAACCCATCACACTAAGTGAGGGAGGATTTATTCAATTCAAGGTAAAAATAAATAAATCCTATTGATTTTATATAGCATAATACTTTATTATAATTATTATATTTACTTAATATTACTAATACAATAAATGTAACAATGAAATAATAATAATGAATTTACCACACATTGTTATTAAAAAATTTAATACTAGATATAAGATAGTTAATATTAAATTATTTGATATTATAGATATGAGATAATAAATTTTTAAAAGTTATTAGTAAAAGATTAGTAAAGGGATTAAAATATTCAAGTTGGTTAGAGATACTATAATAATTCAACTTTGTTAATACTCCATCAATTTTATTTTTAAATAATTTTGAATTATGATTGATATTGTTTGTGCAGATTTCGGAGAAACACAGAAGAATGCAACTGTTGGAGTACCTTTACGGTGGTTCAACGATATGGCACGTGAATCGCGTTAAGCGCGGTCTTATCGAAGACACGAGCTTTATAACGAATCCTTCTTTGAAGACAATTGGCTTGATGTTCAAAACCGTGAGGCTCGATGGTATCCTAATATACGCTGCAACAAATAAGCATTTTACATCTGTAGAGGTGAGATACATTTTCAACCACCTTTTTGTCTCATAAGAAATATTAAAATCATTTATTTAAAAAAATAGTTAATTCTCAAGAATTCCTTAACTTTATTATTATCAAAAATTATCAAAAATTAGTAGCAATATTGATCATATTTCAAACCAATTATAAATTGGATGCATTCTGAGATATATCAACTTCTGTTCTATACCAATTGTTGACTTTCAGATCACAGATAAATGAATAAAGAACGAATAAAATAAATAATATGGAAAATAAATAAATAGATTCCATTTCGTAATCTAATTAACACGACTATAATGTGTTTCAGCTTCGCAATGGCCAATTGGTTTACATGTCTCTGCTTGGATCACCAGTGAACATGTCGATTAATATTGAGGGCGGTCTCGCCGACGGACGTTGGCATAATCTGACTCTCCATGCCTACGCTCGAGGATTAAGACTGTTGATCGATGGTACTCTAACAGGCGATGAGTTGGATTTGGCAGGAGTTCATGATTTCCTCGATCCATATTTGTCCGTCTTATCGATTGGCGGAGTCAGCCAGGATCTCTATTACGCTCATAGTGCTGGCTTTAGGAGTTTTGAAGGTTGTCTGGCTAACTTTACCATCAATAATGAGGTGCAACCATTCAACGGCTCCGGTTCTATCTTCAAAAATGTGCTTTATCATGGCAAAGTGAGCACTGGATGCAGAGGACCGATCGGTATCGGTGCAGCTGCGGCCGCGGACCCTCTCAGTATTGGCATTACTCTGGTCATCGTCTTTTTCGTCATCCTATTAATTGCCATTCTGGTGAGTTTCATAGTGTTCCGACTGCGCCGGCAGAACAAAGAGAAGTCAGCATCATCGGTTGTTAACAAAAATACCAACGCCATCATGACCGGCAATCCTCTGGTCGGTTCCGGAAATGACAATCTCATGTCCCGTCATGAGAACACGTATATCTCTGACACATCGGATTTGCGCGGCGTTGGTCATATGGGTCCTGAGTTGATCTCGAAGAAGTACAAAGAGCGCGAGATCAACTCTACCGCCGAGCATCGACCACAACGGCCGGATATCATCGAGCGCGAGGTCACCAAGTCACCTCCCATTCGCGATGAGCATCCACCGTTACCACCGCCCACCCAAATCTCTCTTCATCCTCACGAACATAACCCGGAACCAGACATCCCGGAGCATTACGACTTGGAGAACGCTAGTTCCATTGCGCCCAGCGACATTGACATCGTATATCATTACAAGGGTTATCGCGACGGCATGAGGAAGTATAAAGCCACTCCGCCTCCTATAGGTGAAAAGACTAACAGTTTACTAGAGAGAAAAATTGTAATGTTTAGTTCCGGTCGACACTAAAGTAATTGAAAATAATATAACATCAATGTTATATATTTGCACTGAATAATATAAATGTAATATAACACATGTTACATAACAGTTTCATTGTTGAGTGTGAAATTATAACATTAATGTTATGCTCCTCTTAGTTGATGTCGGCTGAAGTGCAAAAATAACGTGTTTTAAATTTTACCTAATAATATAATAAAGTGTATTTTATTATATTATTAAAAGGTGTATATATTTATATATTTAAAATAATGTACTATTGACTTATAAATAGAAATTACTTATTGTACAGGTAATTATGGTAACCATCACAAACACACGGGACAACAACATCGTCATAATGGACCTTTTCCACCACGAGCTATGCCACCGCCCAACGTGAATCAACCACCTGGACCAGCGCCAAAATTGCTTCAGAGCACGCCTCTGGCGAGATTATCTCCCAGCAGCGAGTTATCTGCACAACAGCCGCGGATTCTCACGCTGCACGACATCAGCGGAAAACCGCTGCAAAGTGCGCTGCTGGCAACCACGTCTTCATCCGGCGGCGTCGGCAAGGACGCGTTAAACTCCAACAGCGAGAGAAGTCTGAACTCGCCCATCATGAGTCAATTGTCAGGCTCGACCGCCAGCAGGAAGGCCCCCCAGTCAAATAATGAAAACTCTGTGAATAATGTGTCATCTGGCCCAATGGGTCTCACAGCGGAAGAGATTGAGCGACTCAATTCTCGTCCGAGAACGTCCAGCCTGGTTTCTACTCTAGACGCCGTGAGCTCCTCCAGCGAGGCCAGGGGCCCACCTGCGCACGGGCCTCTTCATCATCACCGACGTCACACGCCTCCCGTAGAGAGGCTCGAACGACGAAATTCGTCAACTACCGACGAGAGTGGTAATGACAGCTTCACGTGTTCGGAGATTGAATACGACAACGGGTCACTGGTGGGCGACAAGCGGTCCGACAACCTGTTCGCCAAACAGGATAACGAGAGGAGCAGCCCGCAGGGAAGGAGCAACGTTGAATCGTCACAGTCAACGAAACCACCGCTTCCGCCGAACGTTGGCAACTACGACGGCTTCGACAGTTCATTTCGCGGCTCCCTTAGTACCCTCGTCGCTTCTGACGACGATCTATCGACCCATATGGGTGGCCTCCTCTATGGCACCCACGCCACTAATGGTTCGCCCACTACCACCACCACTACTACCACCACCGCCGCCGAGGATGCTCTTAGCTGGGACTATCTGCTCAACTGGGGACCCAACTTCGAGAGCCTCGTCGGCGTGTTTATCGACATCGCTGAGCTGCCGGACAGTACCAGTCGAGTACCCAGATTACCGGCGAATATCCCCAAACCGTCTGAGGAATACGTTTGAAACGGATCCTTAGATATGATGCCGGGACAATTTAGTGAACAATAGTAGTTTAATGATTGTGAGATTTATTTCGGGCAAATTGTAAAGACTCGCCCTGAGGAAATATGCGAGCTCCACTTTAGGAATGTTATCGAATTGTTTTGCTGCTTGTTTAGTTTGTTTAGTTGAACGTTTGTAAATTGATAGTATAAATAGTGACATCCAGTCTCGCAGGCTTGAATGATCGAACGTGGTTTTGAGTCATATGAGGACACATGAGGACATTGAAAAAAAATGCCAGCGAAAAATGTTATGGAAAGTCGTTGCAACGTTTAGAGGTTGCAGTGAGGAGCCACGTCGAACGGGCCATCTTGCCATAAAACAGAGAGGAACGTCCCTCGAAGAGACTCGTCCGTATTTTTCCCATCGTGTACGGGAGAAATTCGTTGTTTTCTATTGTACTCTTTATCTCGCAATTTTTTTTGTAAATACTGAATGACATATGTCTAATCAAAATGATTACGCTCGCGCGGAGCGCGTAATATTTACCCCTCGGTACGATCGGTCGAACTGCAAATATTTTCTTCGACAGAATATCACATATTATAAATAATCGACCCTTATAAAAAAATATTATTAGACTCACGAAAAAAATGATTAGAAATAACTTGGAAAATCATTCGATTCTAATATTGTACGCTATTCTTTCTAATAGGTTTTTTTTCACTAATCTAATAGTATTTTTCCACAAGGTAAAAAATCACGCATGTGTGGGTATGTGAAGTTAATATTATTTATAATATTAATATTAAGATTTTAAACTATCTTAATTGATTTTAAATAATCGATAACTATTAATATTACAAATAATATTAATTAAAGTAGCATTAAATGTTGATGTTAAACTTGTACGTTTTGCATGTTTCGAGCGATCGTACGCGATATTCAATACGAAATGCAATCACGCGAGATTACGTTAAATGCCATTTTTAATTACGACGATTTATCTGCCGCCGGTGAGACGGAAATATGTGCGACTGGGCATCGAGACAGTCCAATTATAATTGTTAATTAGCGACTTCTGTATACATATATCTTAAGCTGTCGTGCCAGATACATACTCGATACAGTCGTGCATATCATAATAATTGCTTGAATGGCTAAGTGGCATTTATTTCACGATTTTTAATATTTTAATCAAGAATCTTAAAAGACTATTTATTGAAATTGCAAAATAATTTTCGGGATACGTAATTGTAAAATTTGTTATAAATTAATTTATATTACAATGTATAGTTATGTTGTATTTATACGTGCGCCTGCGAATTAGATTTTAATCTTTTTATATGTCTCGAAAATTGGCTTTTTATTAGTAAATGAAAAATAAAAGTGAGATAAAAATATTAGTGATTAATTAATCACGACTTTTATTATGTTACTTACTAAAATTGCAATTTCAATAAATAGGAACGCTATTTTTCTAATTGACTTTGGATTTTGATACTGTAATATACGCCCACACAGCATACTTTATCCAAGAGATGTCCTGAGAACGTCTTTAAGATATACAAAGATATCCTCTGGACGTCTTTTAGAACGTCTGAAGGTCTGTGCTGTATGGAACAAAACTAGTCCTTATATCTTTTTATTCATGATGATAAAATCTCCATCGGCAATGTGAAATGTTTACTCTTTGTCTACTTATCTGAATCTTCGAACTTTAATGTAAATTTGTATATTGTTTCGAACAGTATAAAGATCTGACAAAATTCTTACATATTTATGAAAGCTTTAACAATGGATTTGTATTAAATCATAGAAGTTAGATTTTATTTTACTTATTTTTTTATAGATTTAAATTTATCTATTAAAATTCATAATAAAAAAAATCCTGTGCTTTTAAACTTCGACATGGCTGTATTTTTAAAGTCAAACATTGCCGGCGGAGGATTAAAAAATCGCAAAATCCATTGTCGTTATAAATCCGGATTAAATCTGGAAATTATATCAATTATATTATCTGACTTCAGAATATTCCAAACAGTAATTGCTTTGTTAAATTTTCCTTGTTTGTGTTAAGTGTTGTATAACATTTGTGTCATTCAGCCATTCGACTCAAGACATGGCGTTTTGATTAGAAGAGAAGGGAGAGAGTTCGTCTTCCCACATTACAAGCAACAAGCTTTGCAATTCTTGAATTGCAAAGATAACGGAACGCCGCTGATGAACGGAATTATCGAGCTGTAATGGAATCCGCCACGCGGATGATAACGTGATTCGCGGGCGTGTCAAATTCGTGCTCAATTCGTGCTCGTTAGAGCAATAACGGCGCCTAATCGTAGCATTCCTAAGAGTAGCCTGCTGGCGGCAGACTACCAGACTGATTTTCTCCTCTCTCCAAACGACGTTTCGCGATCGCGAGATGCGACCTCCTCGATGATCGCCTTACGCGTTTACTTTGTAAATTATGAGATCTGTCCTCGGCCTGATTTCATCTTGTAAATAAAATCGCGCGTATGAATTGTACAAAAGTGCGAATGCATATATGAATGGCAGGGAGTGCGTGCTAACTATCATCATCGATCGTAAAATAGATGACAGATTTGTAAAAGTGATGTCTTATTTATTTCCTTTCCCTCCTCCTCCAAAGTTTTATGTAAAATATACAGGAAAATTTTTTGATATTTTAATATTGATTTTTTTTAAGATAAATATATGAGGGTCTCCCAATATGCATTTCGTCAAGATTCATAGATTGTGAACAAAAATTTATAATGAATTGGAAAATACATTCTGGATCCGTTATTTCGAATTTTGGAAATATGACTACGGATTGTTCATGAGTGATTCGAAAATCCCACAAATATCGATTTTCATGAAAATTGAATAAATTTGGACCACCTGATCAATGAAATAAATATTTTCAATAATTTTCATAAGTTTTTTATTTATTCTAACCGCCATATTGGAGCAGCCTCTTTGAATTTTAAAAAATACCACGCTTTTCCTTGAAACCACATATAAAAACGAAAATTTTAAGTCCTCGAACGTCTTACTTCGACTTTACAAATTTTGCCCAGACACTTGTCTCCATTGACGTGGAACGTCCCGTATATTTTTTTTAATTTAATAAAAAAATTAAATTTAAATCAAATTTTTCATTGATGAATCATTTTTTGAGTTAAATTGTTTAATTTCATTGTTTTAGTTAAATTAACTATATAGTATTAAGTAGGGCGGTTTATAATGATTAAAAATGACTTAAATTGAGTATAATTTAGCATTACAAACTTAACAATTCGTATTGCATAATTTTCACGTTTAAATATTATTATTCATAAAGAGATAGAATTAAATGGTCAGAGAAGTTTAAATATATATAAGTCCAATTTGATTTAAATAAATTTAACTAAAATTTAGAGTGATAAACAAATTACAAGGCCCGCATCGGTCTTTGGAAATGTCTGAAAAATGCTTATTACCTATCTGTTACATCGATAAATCTCGATCACGTCAGCTTCGATCTTCATCTCTTGCATACGTTCCGATACTTTTGTCAAAACGGTTAAAACCGATCTATTTCATCGCGTCAAATTACTTATTAATTATTTTTTACTATATATGTATTAGCGTCTATTATTATTTGTTGACTTGAGACTGAATTTTCAGTCGCTTCGCGAACGAGACACGAGAAAGTTTGCGTTTTCCACGCAGAAATTTCACCGACCTCGCGACTCGTCGGGCTACCGGAATCCGATATAATCGGTTATAATGTACAGATAATGATATCTCCACTTCCGTCATACGACGAGCTACTAAATAGCGCTTACGCAAACATTAATTTGATCGCCGACAAGACCTGGACCTTCGATCCCGAGGATCCTTTCCGAAAGTTAAATCATTCTCTTTGGATTCAAGTGAGACGCGCAACAGATACTTATCTCATAAATATCGCATCAAAGTACCGCATTTTATATATTAGTATTTCCAAACATTTTTTTATCGATGTTACTTATCGTTGTCTGAGGATATTTTATGCGTAAGAGAAGAAAGGAACTATCACAGATTTGTTCTTTAACTGAACTAGTACACTCTTTGTACTTAAAATGAAACAATATGTTTGATATTTGGTGACTGTGAGAAAGAAAATTCTATCGTAGTCCAATGCAACAATAAAAAACAAATCTCAACTTTCTGTTCGTTGAAATATTACGGGGATATATATATATATATATATATCGTTTCCTTTCTGAAGATAACGAAAATTATATTGGATTATTTAGAACTACAAACGTATTTTGATATTTTCATTTATTGAAGATAGTAAAAAATATAGTTGTAAATTATTGTGAAAGTAAAAAAACTCGTACGTATCGTAACAATACAGATTTTTTCGCGATGAGAGGAAAGAAAATTTATTTTGACATAATGATAACTTATTGCGCGCGTTTAATGCCAGAGTTGCGAAGTAACCGCGAAGTACGAGGAATATGGTGATTATCGTCCAAGACTCGTTCGAGACGTCATCTCCGAATCGCGCTTGGCGAAATACGGTAATTACGAGTACGACGAGCAGCATGAGAGAATGTACAGCCCGGACGACGGTAAATCGTCGGGTAGCGTGCCTTGCCACTTCCGTTCAGCTACGGAGGCTGTGGAACCGTGGATGCTTCCTGAAGTTCAAGAACACTTCGCCCGGTTAATTTCGCCGAGTTGCACGCGATCACATCGGGAACCGTTAGTTCGCTTCGGCACTTCGGTGTTATTTTTACGATCCGCGAACTTCTTCTCTCTACACAATTTCGTGATAAAGAAATTATCACAAATTATGACCCATCTACGCTGTAATATTTAATTAAGGATTATATATAAATTTTATTTAGCGATTGAAGATATAATATATTAATTGCAATTTAATTAAAATCAATTGATTCATTCCCAGGGAGAAATAAAAATTGAAATGACGTCGATAAGATATATATATATAATTAACGTCGGTTCAATTTTTATCTCTTTCTGGGTTTTATATTCATCATAGCAATGTTTGTATCGCAGACGTGGAAATTCTAAATACATCTAGTATTGATTGCGATTAGATTTTAATATCTTGTTAATTAGTACTTTCAATTTGCAAAGCTCAGCAATACAAATACTAAAGAGTAACACCGCGAGGAGGGATAATGAAACTGTCGCTTGCTCGAACTTCCAATTTGACTGGAACGAGAGCTCGAAAAAGCAACGTCAAAAGACCAGTCCAAAAGGGAGCAGAAAAATTGGATTGCACGATGAATTACTTTCGGCTTATAAATCTGACGAGGGCGGTAAGCAGTAATCTTACAAGTTAACAAAGATACAAATTACAAATCTATAAATCATACACCTGTACAGATCCTTATATGAAAATAATACAAATAATGATTTTGTCTTTTCATTTGTATTTTAATTGTTATTTATTCTATTAAAAAGTTATTTTATTAATTACATACTTTTATATTTATTTATTAATTATTTTCATATTATCTTATTAATATTCTAATTTTAGTATTAATGAAGTAGATTTTATTAATAAATTATACTTATTTTAATTACATTTGTTATTTTTTGTAATAAAAATGTATGCTATCTTTTTTTATAAATGGCTCTCACAACTTTGTAACGCGCAGTGAAAAATAAAATAATTATTACAATCGTTCCAACGAATATTTTTGTTTAGAAACTCGTTTATGTAATTCATTATATTTTAATACAACAAACATTTGTATTTATAATTGCAACAATTACAATTAGCACCTAATTAGCATTTCCTAATTAATTAAAAATAAAATTATCTTTGAAATTAAAAAAGATATGAAAATCTTATCTTTTAAAATTTATATTAAACACCTTTTTTGAAGGAAAAAAATTAAAACTGTTCATTAATTTAAAATATTGAAAATATAATCTGGTAAGGTAAATGTTGAGAAGTTGAGATATATGAGATACACAAAATAATTAAAACACTTAGCATCTCAAAACCAGCACCTAAGTTTAAAGACTCAAATGCTATCGTCTTACGCTTCTTTTATTCCTTACTATACATATTATGTGCTATTAGGAAAATCAATCAGAATGTTTGCCCGTCATCGCCGATACACCGCCGAGACTGCCGCGGAAATGCAGCTGCAGTTCCGCATCGAGAGCAACGCTGTGCGCGACATATGGAACTCCGAAAAGGTTCAACAGCAGCAGCAACAGCAACAGCAGCAACAACAGCAGCAGCAGCGATGCCATCAGCAGAATCAGCAATCACGTACCATACGACAGACGCAACCTGTCACCCAACATCATCAGTTCTACTGCGCATTGCAGTATCAACCTTTGATCATGCGAGAATATCAGCGAAAACCATTATTATCACCTCCACCATTACCACAACCGCCGCCGCCACCGGTTCTGAGCGCCGAAGTACCTGAATTCTTCCCGAAGTCGAGCCTACCCCCGATAGCATATAACTTGAATAATAACAAAGAGCGCAAGACTTGCCAGATACGGTACTTCCCGTCTTTGAATGACAGGAATTACCAGAACGAGTTGTTTCCTTATAACAGGCCGCAGCAGGAGATTGCGGCAACTGTTTTCCCAGTAAACGTACGGGCTACAGAAGTAAACTTTAAGTCCATTCTCTTCAGCTAAACTTCTTGCATAGATCATCTTTCCTCTTTTTCTTTCCGCATTAGGGAAAAAAGAGAAAAGATGAATGGTACAAGAAGTTCAGCTAAATAATACAGTATCTTTTGTATCAAGATCGCGACGTTTTTTTTAGACGTTTCTGAAAGAGATTAGTCAAAAGCTGAAATCTCTCACATAGAATATAAAATATATATAAAATCATAATATGCAAATATGTATCTTCATGAATGTCATTATAAACTCTTCATTACGGTCCACGATGCAATCAAAACTTGGTTGCATTGGAAGAAAAACGATCGTATTAGGTTAAAATTAAAATTGATGAGTCAGCTTTTTAAAAAAATAATTTTTATAATTTATATTATTTATACGAATTGATTATTAAAATCTTTTAGCTATGCAACTTCTTTTTACAATACAGAATGCTAGAATGTCCATATTATCAGCGACAGAGACGAATGTGTTTCGTTCGCCTCAAGAATGGATTCACAGAGTGGCACCACCAGTGCAATTGCAGCTGACAGCGTCTTCCTCGTCACCATTGTCAATCTGCACGCCGCTGCAACCAATTCACGATGCTGCAATCGGCCATCGTCCTTTACAGGCACTTTTTAAAATGATTTTTTTATATAAAGTATTTTTATAGAAAAGAATTAAGATATCTAACTAAAACAAACAGTTTGAAGATCTATCATCTGCAATCATATTTTTATTCCTTTTGTCTGCAATCTGTGTCTTTTAACTCAAATGTTAAAACCTTTATTTAATAAAAATTAAAATATAAGCAATAACAAAGAAAAAATGGAAATTTGTTTATTAATATATAATTTTCAGTAATAAGGGAATCGGACTTCTTTATTTTGAAGAAAATTAAGTGAAATTTTTTGTACCAAAAAAGACCTTAATTACAGACGCAAGGTTAATTGTTACAGAATATAAATATTATTCATATTTGAAGAAAAAGAGAGGCTAGAGATAATAAATAGATGATAGATAAATAATAGATAGATAGATAGATAGATAGAGAGAGAGAGAGAGAGAATTTATTACAACTATTTTGCACATTATAATAATTATCAATTATAAACAATTACACAGGCCTGCATGGTTTTGTTGATTGGAATTTAATAATGTTTTCTTACGTAATTTTTTGCGCTGAATCCGAATCCGGCTGCAGAATTGCTCTGTCACGTCAAGATTTCGAGATATCCTAATTTAAAACTGCTAAAAAGTCGTTTTATATTAGTAAGACATGAACGGTAAAAATATTCTGTGACAAAAGGTAGAAGAGTTAGTTAATCTGTCCAGAAATACTGTTTGTTCTAATACAACGGTATACAAATCAGGCTTCTATAAGGTACAATTCATTGAACTTTGAATAAGTAAATCTCCGGAAAAGAAAAATCGCTTTGAGATGGTTCAAAATGGATTTTGAAGGGACCATATAGTAGTAAATAATACCGTTGATGGATTTGACAATAAAAATTTTCTTAATTTTTAATTTAATTTAAAATATGGTTGAAAACGGCTTTTTTGGCAGTTTTAAGTTAGGATATCTCGAAATCTTGACGTGATGGAGTAATTCTGCAGCCGGATTCGGATTCAAAAAATTACGTAAGAAAACATTGTTAAATCCCAATCAACTTTCAACACCTTCAATTTTGCAGGCCTGTGTTATAATTGATGAATAAGATTAGTAATGTTACATTTGCATCATTATTAAAAATTTTCACAAAGCTATTCATAAAAGTGAAATACATCGTAATTTTGCAGATGTACGAGAAATTTTTACCTTGTACCCAACCAAGTTCAACGACACCCATACCTGTGTATCAGCGACCAGTGGAACTGTACCAGGAACCAATGCTGAAGCGGAAGAATCAAGGGGTCGATTTCAACAATCTTATACTACTAACAAAGAACAGCATCAAGATGCGACGAGGCCACTCGAAGCCCATTGTTCAACAGCCTTTCCTTCTAGATTCCAGACAGAGTTTAAAAACTTCCAATCACAATGTGCAGGTGCAATGGTTCGATAGGGATCACAGTGCGAAGAAAACGAAGGAGGTCGTGACCGTAAACGCACTCGTATCCGAGCTGCGCAGTTTTGAGGAGAAGTACGAATACTGCAGAGGAGCCGATACTAACTGGAGAACGGTCGCCGAATCATCACAAGGCCAGCAAAGGTTGTCTGAAACTTCGTTCCGGTTGAAGAATGAAATATATAGGAACGAGAGCTCAAGCTGTAGGTCAAAAGACAGATTCTTTGGGAAAGAGAGCTCAAGATACAGAGTTTTAGACGCTGAAGAGGACAAGAGCTCAAAGCGGCCGCTTTATAGAGACGTTCTAGCGAATACCTCGAACGAGGCGATCTTAGATAATGTCTTCGAGAAGAGGTACATTGAAATTTTCGATTAAAAACTTTTTAAAACTTTGGATGATTTGATGAAAAAGTCATTCTTTTTTATCAAATTCATTTGTAGTTTGAATAGCTGTATTTATAGCAGAGAAAGCAGCTTTGTAACTGTTATAAAATTCTTTAATATGATCAATCTTGCTCTTCTTTACTGGATCTAAATGTATAAATCAATCATATTGAAGAATTTTATAAGTACAGTTTTTACAGTTTCAAAGCTTTTTCTGCTGAACGCAACTGATGTTTCACTGGTTTTCAGGTACGACGAGCTTGAACAGCAAGCGATGGAACAATACAGGAATTCGGAGGAGTCATTGGCGCTCAAATATCAGGCAATATTCCAACTTGAATATTTATTTCGTGGCTTACGGCTATGTATCCTTGTAAATGATAGGAAAAAATTAAAAAAAAAATTAGCATATGAGAACTATGTGATCTTATTGATGAAATTATTTCTTTTTACTCCAATAGTTATCAAACGACATTTTGCAACCAAAAGAACTAATTTTCAATCATTCTTGAAATCATACTAAAAGTAGAATACTCCGTTTCATAAATGTGTTTTCGATTAATTTTCATTCAACTTTTTATATGGAATATCATTATGCTGATGTTTACATTACGATATTGCAGGAATTGGAACGTCAAGCAATGGAACAATACAGAAATGGTAATACAGGAGATGAAAAGCGCTCGATGGATCAGGATTGTGTCGATGGACAAAGATGTTCGGAATACGGACACTGCAGTCCCGTGAAAAGACATGCAAGAAGAAAAGGTATGACGTTCCCAAAATTGCTATACAATATATCGGACGTAACATGTTTAATTTTCGATAAAAATAATATCTTAAATAACTATTTGTCAGGTTCTTGTTTTCCCCAAATCACTCTGTTGAAGCCGAAGGGTAAATCTTTGCCAAATGTCTGTCATGGCAATGATAGTAATCTTCAAGCAACCATCGCTTCAAGAAGCTTAACTGCATTGACTGACGAATCGTCGAAGGAATCGAAAAACATATGTAAGGGTGCATCAGGAGATAAAATCGATACGAGTGGTAAGTTAGGTATCAGCAACGTAACACTGCGGAAAAGTATTAGAGAAAGCAGAAGAAAGTTTATAATGTATAATGAAATTAGTCGTATTATGCCGATATTAGATAAATACTTAGATGTTTTTTATTGCTATATTAAACTATACTAGAACTTATCCAGACAACACGCATGTCCAAATTCGGGTCAAAACATATCATAAAGATATCACTAAGACGTTTTTTAGATATCTAAACATTGCTATTCTTTTTTAATCGTAATTAAAATTTTTTTCAAATATTAAGTTAAATATTAAATAAAGAATTATATTGAAATATATAAAAATAAAATATTTTAGTAATGATAAGAAGATGCCATTATTTTTTATAATACTGCCATAATGTGTTGTAATGAATTCTGGCTTTTTTATAGCATTGAATTTCGAAATACAATTTATATCAACGCGATTTAAGTTCTATAATTAGAAAATGGTTTCAAAATTATTGATTTTTAAGTCTCAGTTCGAGCATCGTCAAAGCGGCGTCTGATACTGATGTCACCCTTCGAACGCAAATCAGGGGCCAGAAAAATAATGAAGGCGACGGAACTACGAAGTATTTGCTCGTTCTCCCAAACAAGAAACAACGTCCTCGATTATTATCGGACTTCCGAAATTGCCCAAAATGGCAGCGGTGATGAAAATATAACAATTATACAGTCACCCGGTACTGAAGGTATAATAGCATCAATCATATAAAGGCATAATATAGGGTAAATGGGGGGAATATGCCACACTTAAGCGAAATTAGATTTTTTGGTAATTATTTGTTCAATTTAAAGTAATTTTACGTACTGATCTTTTTTTTCCATCCTTTATCTATTATTTTTTCTATTTTTCCTCCAAACTTGAATCATGGACCTTCTTTTTTATTTTCTTCTCTTTCTTAATGACATTCACTTTCTTCATTGACCTTTACTTTCTTCTTAATGACATCTAATTTTTGTTTTTTTTATCTTTATTCTTTCATTTATTTTTCCAAACTTTTCTTCTATATTCTTGTGACGTCAACTTCTGAGCATGTTGTTTTCTTTTCGTGACTCTAGGTTTCTCAAGTACTGACACAGGTGCAATTTTCTCAAATGTAACGAGAGTGGAAGTAGATGCAGTTATTTGGTCAAAGGGGCAATTAATCGATGCCGATAGTTCAGAATTTTCAATGTGACCAGATAAGGATTGAATAGGAAATAGTTTATCTGATTGTTTGTTGTTCAATAATATATTCGGATCTTCACTTTCTGGCTGAGTAAAAGTATCTTTTAGTGCTTCCGAAGTATTAGATATTCTGAATGCATGCTCTGGTATTTGTGCAGGATTGTATGGAAATATTCCACAAGCTTTGAAATCCGTTGTACCGTTGCTTACTGTTGCTGCAAGGTTTCAAGAACTACATAACAAATCTCCAATCCAAATTGGTATCTGGTTAGTCTTCGTCCAGGATGGTTAATAATCCAATTAGTAACGACTCTTTGCCAATATATTTTGAGAGGTTTAAAAAATGACCTCTAATGGTTGTAAATAATGGGTATTATGACTTGGAAGGTAAAGTAAAATTATATCATTTTCGGCTGCAAAGTCAAGTACAGTGATGTCAGAACAATACGAACTATGACCATGTAATATTAACAGCACCTTCCCATCTTGTTTACATGGAACGAAATGGTCTTTAAGCCAGGCAAGGAACAATTGACAATTTACATAGGTACTTGTCTCTCCCATTTCAACACGGGATCCAGGAGGAAGCCCATCTTCGAATTCAGATCTTTTCCTTTGGCCTTTGAATATGCAATAAGGAGGTAAAAAGTTGCCTTCGGCATTACAACAGACAATGACACAGTTTCCCCCTTTTCTGCTGAAGTTACATGATGTTCGTGACCCTTTGGTTGCAACAACTCTGTCCACGTTATTATTTAATTGAAGACCTATTTCGTCGACATTATAAATTTTGAATAGTTGATCAAAGAGATTATTCTCCTTACATATTTTCAATAAAATTTGGAAATAATTGTCAACTTCTTCTCAGTACATACCTAATCCACGAGCAACAGAAATTCCTTCGGCTTTTCTTACTGATAATTTAGGGTGTCGCATCATAAAATTACGAAACCAGTCATATCCAGCTATTTCTTTCTTCTGATTGAATTCATTAAGAAGGTTATTCTTTAATGCAAACGTAAAAGCTAATTTGCGGACACTATTTGCAATCGGTAGAAATCCTGTACTCTCTAGCTTCTGTATATAAGTTACGAGTTCTGATGTTTGTTAAGAAAAGCTGGTCGACCTAGAGCTCCTTTATTGGAATTATTTTCATTAATCCACCTTTTAAGAGTCCGATAAGGTATACCATAATATTTTGAAGCATTCCATATATTCATTTCATTTTGAGAGAAATCTTATTAAGAGCTTCTATTAATGAATCCTGACTCCAAGAAGCTCGATCAGTTTTTCTTATATATATTCGAGGCATTCTTGTCTGAAACGTGTAAAAGTATGTAATGTATAAGTATAAAACGTATAAATATATATTTATCTTACTTTATTTATGTTTACATAGTGTTACAAGTAGTCTAAATTTCTAATAATCAAGAAAATTCAATCCATTAAAATGAATTGAAAAACTGCATTCTCTAATCAGAATTTTGAATTGAGCAGTAAATTAATATAATAATAAGCAAATAAATAAATATTTAAGTTCATTTATTAATTATTTGTCAATACGGATATCCTGTTACAACGAGAGTATGCAGCAGAACGTTTGTTTATAGCGCCCTAATCTATATTAGAGAAAATGACTGAGTACTGGCATTTTATCCTAACAAAAGTAGTGACATATTGCCCCAAGATGCCATTTTATCTTGATAATGAATTTAAAAATCATTTATAATGAGCCTGTACAATACAGTTGTCAAGAAAATGAATCAATAACGTACAGAATATTTTCATTTTAATCTATATTAATAGGTTACCAATCTAATCGAGCTAAATATTGTGTAACGCTTAAATAATAACTTAGATAAAGCACTATGAAAGTTATAAGAGGCACATTTTCGTATGCTATGCCGTCATATTTACCTCATAAAAGCAATACTGTTATCAGGAAATTCTTTGTACTTGTGTGATATGTTCAGATATGTTGAGCACACAATTATAAATAATTCCATGATATACTGACGCAAGCGCTGTTAATCGGTATCATAAGGCTTGTTCTTTTTGGCTGAACTTTTGCACCAGTTCATCTTTCTTCAAAAGAAATTGGAAAGAATAAAGGCAATAGGAGTCAGGCGCAGAAGACGTCACGCAAATAATACACCCATAAAGCGTAAAACTTTTTTATTCTACTAAACGCGCTCCTACTTAGCGCGTTTAGTAGAATAAAAAAGTTTTACGCTTTATGTGGGTGTATTATTTGCGTGACGTCTTCTGCGCCTGACTCCTATTGCCTTTATTCTTTCCAATTTCTTTTGAAGAAAGATGAACTGGTGCAAAAGTTCAACCAAAAAGAACAGACCTATTGTTAAATACAAGTGGCATATTCCTCCAACTGGTGTATTTCCCGCACTGGCGTATTCCCACCATTTACCCTAATATACAGTCTGTTTTAACAAGAAAGTATGGGTGATAATCTGAAAATAAAAGATAAAGTCAAGTTTTTTTTAAACGAAAATAGAAGATTTTTAGCAATGCGCAATTACCTAATATTTAATCCGGTCGCCTCCATTATCAATTATTATTTAGCACCGTTTTTGCATACATTCGACCAGATTCTCGGCGTATTCTGCAGATAAAGAGCGCTATTGTTTTTATTTTTGTGCACAGCTGCTTAAAGCGGCTTAATCTCATTGTAGACGCTGCTTAAGAGTGAAGACACGTTGGCAAAAAAGATTAGTTTCAAGATTTAAACGGTACAAGGTAAACGGCGGTACATACTGATTTTCTACAAAAATATCACTCACATTTTCTTGTTGAATAGACTGTATATACAATTTATATATAATTTTTTTACATACATATATAATTATAAGTCTATACATATTATATATAAATTAGAAGTATTTATAATTATGTGTTTATTTTCATGTTTTCTTTTATAGTGATTATTTTTATTTTTTATACCATTTTTTTAATAATTAGTTTAAGTTTATAAAAAGTATTTGTATTTTACACGGCGTTCATGTTAATAAAAAAAACAAATAAAGATGCTTTTTTATCTGGGTACCGATCATTTACTTTTCCTTAGGGCGGGGATATGTGAAAAGTGAAAAGTTTTTCCATTAATTTCAATAATAAAAATGTTTACTTCTTATGTTTCCGCTTTAAGGAAAAAGTACATATTCGGTACTCTGATGTTTTCAGTTTGGTTGTCCGGATTTTGGACTACTTAAGAGCAACTTAATGAATTTTCTTGAGAAAAATTGAAAGACTATCGAAGTTCCTTTGCCAAGACGACATCGGTAGATTGAACCGGAGAAATAAGAAGCAAGTCGTGACTTGTAATATAATTAATATTATAGGCATATATTTTATGAATATGTATGTATGTATGGGAAATAAGTTATAGCGTATTCATGTGATATACGTATATTGATATACAATCGACAAGACACTTTACATAAATCTTTTAATCTTTAAATAAATTATTGCTTGTAAATAGTGATCAGCTTGCAAAATGCATTAAACATGTCTATCTGTTCATATAAGCACGTATTATATATTTTTTTATATTATTTAAAATATGTTATAAAAAAGATAACAAATCTAAACTGGCTACATTATTCGATATTTATAAAGGATATATGATATAGTCTATCAAGATCTAAGTAGAGTTAAATCTTTTGGGAACGTATCTTTGGAAATTTTCAGTCTTCGTTTAACTCTTTGAGTCATCTGTCATGTAAATGGTATGCAATATAAATAAAATAGGGCGTTACAAAATATAGACATAAAAAATCTTCTATCAGACTATACTGTAAAAAATATTCCTGTCTCTTTTCACGTATAAACTCTTTTACACAAAACACACACATGTATATTTTTATGCAACATATAGTAATAGAGTAATTTAATAGATTGGTCGCGTCAAGCAGAATATTTATTTTGCAACTTGTCGGAAGTTTTTCATTGAAATAAAACTACTTCTCCTAAAAGTATAATCCAATTAATGCGAAGAAAACTTACAATAGTTGTAAAATAAACTGTGTTCTGCTAAACACGGCCATTGTTCAGACATTTGCAACCATATATGCTGCATACATTCTTTCGACATTATGGAAATATCGTTTATATAATAGAAGAGCATTCAAATAATTCAATCATTTCTTTCTACAACGGAATGAGTTTACCAATTATCGAGAAACTCAAATCCAGTTTTTGGTATACTTCTCTCTTCCTCTTCTTGATTCAATTGAGATGACTGAAAGCTACTGTAGGAACTGGGTGTTTCTAATAAAGCAGTCGACTCGTTTATGTCGCTTGATTTCGTTCGTGATGTTACCACTAAAGTATTAGATTGACTTTTGTCTGTATCAGAATCCCTCACCAAACTTTCCAAGTCATCCTCGACGTTGCTTTGTAACTTTAATAAAGAAGTCTTGTTGATCAATTTGGCAAATATACTATCAGAATGTTCGCTGTCAATTTCGTTTGTCAGTAAGTCACTGCACTGATCATTTTCGAATAAATCGCTGGCGTAACAATCTGATGGATAACTAACTTGATGTAGAGAGTTATAATTATCGCTTAATGAACAATTGTTTCTTTGTGTTTTCACTGGACTAGAAAAATGTGGTAATTCTCCAAAATGAGTCCTCATTGTTCTCGATTTTACATCTTCGTTAGAGTCTATCAGATTAAGATTCATCTGTGATTGAGTCATAAACGAAAATGGTGCGGAGTGTTCATCTCGCCATCGTAACGTCTGTAATACAGTGAAAAAATTATCAGTTTGTTTAATTTTTTTCATAAACATTGATGATACTATACTTACTGAACCAGTTTCATCTATGACATATTTCATTCCAGTTTGTATGCGCAGTTTTGGATACCACTCAGGTAACTCCTTTGTCAACTCGACCTTCTTCAAGGTGTACTTCAAAGCTATCTCGGGCTGAATTATAGTCTCGTTGATGGCTTGATTGCGCTCCGCTGTACTCAAAGTGTTCCATAGCCCTTCATAGGCCTCTTTCGTTGCTGTTATATCCTCGCCGATTCTTCGAGCTATAGGATTTATATCATAAAAATATTCCTCTGCTCTTGCAGTAAGAGTGCTGGAGCTCATTCCGCTGCGCTGAAACACAAAAATTTATTGATGGTCAAACCGATCATAACATGATTATAGAATGTGTATAAAACATAAAGACAAATCTACGACCATAGTAACATTAAAATTATATTCTGATATACGTACTAGCTTTAATAATGACATAAACAAAAGGGGTGAGAGTATTATATCGACATAATAATTATTGTTTCGTTATATCACAGAATAATCGGATAATACGCTTAACGAAAGTAAGTCTTGAATATAAGTAAACTATCATTGTTGAAGATCACGTTCACGAAAATGTGTCGATCGCTAAAACGAACGTGTCAATTGAGGATAATTGGGGAGACCGTGGAACTTGGAAGCCATGATGGCGCAAAATTTGTTATGCGCTTGCGCCTTCTCTAGAAGTTAATGGACACATTCAAGGATTCAAGCCGGTAGAGCAACTATATTGCTGCTTCAAGCTATCCTGCTTTCGCCAAGCAAATATATTGAATAAAAACTGCTAGTTGCTTTATCGCAGAAAACAGCTGCACAGCATATTTTATCTTCCCTTTCTAAGTTAACAATTTAGTATATTTGTAGTATTTATTACTTTTATTAATTTTTTGTATTTGTTTTTATTATGTTCGTTTTCTAAGTATCAACATAAGTGTTGACTAATCTATTGACTAATTCATAGTATATAGTGCTATTTCGTAGTATTGTTCATATTTTATTAATTTTTAATTATATAATGAAAATACCTTCAAAATCACAAAGCGTAATATTATTAAAAGATGCAGAGATTATTATACCTTAATAATTTATAGGAACAGATTACTTTTTAATAATTACGATAATTTACGGTATTAATTATAATTTTTGTTGCAAAAAATTATAGGTTATATTATTCTGACTATATACATTATTGGTTTTCCAATATTGGACCAATATTGAGGAGCCAATCTCTTCCCAATATTGCGGCTTCCAATATTGGCCATATATTGGAAAACCAATGTATGGCCACAATAGGTATAAACGACTGATTATTAATCATACAGTATTTGCGAGCAAGTTAACTATTTCATCAGTTCGAATACATCCAATATAACTGTGTTCAGGATAAGTACAATCATACATAATCTCAGCAGACCTATTCTGTAACTTTTAATAACGATAATGTCAACATCGTTGTGTCGTTGCACAGCTTCTTTACCATATCAATTATCTGCGCAACGACGGTGTAACAATATCGACACTGTCGTTAAGAGTTACAGAATGGCAGCAGGATCCTGTATATATAAGTTTTTCATAGTTGATCTTTTTTTCAGAATTTCTTATATTGTTAATGACAAACTTGATTTTATAATGCTAATGGGTAGGGAAATTACAATAAGAGAGTCGAATGAAAAAAGTAACATGTCTATATTATTTTCTTTTTTTTAACGGCGAGGATTGCACGAGGTACTAATGAAACTAAAATGTTCTCAGCAGACATGTGAAATGAGAGATCAAATAATGTCTTGGAAATTCGATTTGTATTCAACTATAAAGGAACAAAATCATCTAAATGTATTCATTTAAATATATTTTGACTCCCGCTTAAAAACGAAGGTGAACAATACAATGCCCAACTGTTCTTACTTGTACATTCGGATTGCGACGGAAATATTCGTATATATATATATATACATTATTCTTTTTATTATCATACACACATATACAATATTTTAATATCTCATTATCAGTCGCTCGCGATGATAGATCGTTTCTATAAATTCGACAGACAAATGACTATTACTTAAAGTTTATAAATTAATATAAAGAATGATATACGTAAAGAATAAATGTAATAGTATAATATGAAGACATATATAACGTATATAATGTAAAGAATGAAAATACTTATTTGCACGTAACTAATAGGAATGATAATAAATAAAGATTGCATATGATAATGCACACATAATATTAATATTTTTATAAAACATCTCAAGTATAAAGGAATATATTTTTAATCACTTTTGTCTTTCTTTATACACAGTATATGTACAACTTAGTACGTTGCAGTTTGATATTTTGTCAATTACAAAATAAAAGTTTTCTTTTCTCAAGAAAACATTTCCAGATATTTTTTTCATCAATGTACCAACTGCTTGCTTCGACAATTGTAATCTCTTTATCTAGTCATCCAAACCTTTCAATGAAAGAATATATTTTGAGAATGGAATGAATTGATAGCATTATGACATTAAACATTTTTTTGAAGTCATGAGATTAAAAAAATTAGAATAAATTCCTTTGTCAGATTAAAAAGAAATAATATAATTTTAAAAATATTTGATTTTTAAATCTTTGGAAAAATCTTTATGCACATATTTCAATATGTGCAGAAATTTGTATTGTTAATATTCTGTATAAATATTTTTTATATTTTTATAAAGAAATACATTTTTAATGTGAAAATATTTTGTATTCAATCTATTCTCAAATTCCTTCTGAACAAACAGTCAGAGTAAATAAATTCTTTAAGATGGATGTGTAACAATATTAGATATAATTTTCTCAATATAATTTTTTAAAATATTTTTTGTTATCTGGCAAAATAATTCTGTCTGATTAGGTACATCAGCATAGTTTATCGCATATATTGCACATTTAAAATATTTTGTTATATATTAGGTTGTACCATAAGAAATTGCTGTTTTTATTAATCAAAATAAAAATACCGTATTTTGGAAAGAACAAATTTTATTCCAACAAAATATGCATCGTTAGGCTTAGGATTTGTGACTATATAAATTCATTTAAAAAATTTAAATTTTGAGGAAATGTATTCACCATTATCAAACAGTCCTTTCAGAGTTCTCTTTAAGAATCGTATTAATATTTCTATTTGTTTGAGCTGTATTACGTTGTAATTTCAAATCCATATAAAAAATATTTATAATTCTTTTTCATCTTACATTGACTATTTTTAAAAAATTGTCTTATTTCTATGAAGAAGATAAAAAAACAATTCAATGTGATTAAAGAAAATTATAAAGTCTGATATTGTGTTGCAAGCTATGAATATCATAATTGAAACGTTTTATTTCAATTTCAAATTAATTGAATATCAACAATTTTATGTAGTACAACCCAATCCTTTTATTTCTGATACTGTCGTAGTCTTTCAATGACAGAAAGTTGTAAAACTTTTTATTAGATATATCTTAAAGCTAAAGCATTGCGTTAACAAAGAAAGACTTATCTAGCAGTTACTTTTTGTTAAATAATTTATATATGGAACATGTAAGTTTAGCAGAGAACCTTTTCCATTTTTGATATCTTTATTAAAAAAAATATACAAAATAATTCATAGTTTACGATTTCCTTTTGTAATTATATTACATATCGTGTGTACTT